ACAAAACGGAAAATTAAATAAATAGATAGCGATTAAGTGAAGTCAATGACAAGTGTGTGTGTACCCCTTCAATACACACAGAAATACACATGTATGTAATTAACTACTCAAGTGAATTTTTATTGAGAAATGAATTTGAATCGTCACTTTTAATTGAAAAGATTGCCGACGGAAATTACACTCTTTTTATTTATTTATTTAATTGTTTGTAGAGAACACAAAACTTAAGATACAAAAAATGTGATAGACACAGCACATACGTAATGGAGATGACGATGACACATCGAGAATGTTAAAATGGTTTTTATTTAATTTTTCACTGAGTAAACCAGACATATATATGTTTCACATATACATATATAGGCCTATATTTGTTGGAAAACGCATTGTCATGCTAGATATTTTGGGCATTAGTTATTTATTTTTACAGTAGTTGGTATTGACATCTAAAAAAGGTCTTATGATTATGGTTTCTAGGTAGCCGTTTTAAAATCATTTTTTTATAGAAACCTCACAAGAAAAGCATTGGATTTCCTATTATTTGAAGTCAACTATTTATACAAATTAATTTAATTAATGTTAAATTAATATTCAAATAAACTAAAAATAGTAGAGTAAGACTTCGTAATCCGGTTTATTTTTAAGTTACACTCGTTTAACTTTCACCAGAATGTATTGAATGTACTAAATTTGTTTATACACTGTGGTTGATTAAAAAAGTTGTAATCTCTCTGAACTTGCTTGGAAATCACTACTCAATATTGCATTACTTTCACTATATTTTCTTGGTTATATACACACGAATCCGCATTGAAAGAAAGAGCAGGAATCAACTGCAAATAAAAAACCGTAAGGAAAAATCAAAAGTCGGACGGTATGATAGCCTTCGCCACTTTGGGTACATGCAAGAACTGTGCTGTCGATAGAAATGGAATCGGGCGAAAAAATGAGATCTAAATAGATATTTGAACCATAAAAAAACAACAACAAACTGGACCTACATCAGTACGCTGTGCAAAAGTTTGTCTCAATCGGATAAATATTGGGAGTTAGAGCACCAATTTACATAAAATCGGACGAAAATATATATGGGAGCTATATCTAAATCTGAACCGATTTTTTCCATTTCGGGTTTGTCCTTCGTCCAAATAATCTTAGAATATGTATTAGAGGCAATACATCAACGTTCGTTAAATGATTGAGAGGTGAAGTCATCGACATAACCCTCACTAATATGGACGACTCTGGGGTTATAAACTGGGAAGTATCTGAGAAATGCTCCTTTTCGAACCATAGACTTATACGTTTCCAGATTCCTACCTCCAGAGGTAAACAGAAGCCAAAACCAAAAAAACAAGCATCCTCAATATTGGTTGATGATGTTGAGGAAGTTGTGAGCACTGTCACGGACACTCTTTTGAAGAGCGATATAGCTTCATGACCTGGGGGGAAGAGATCTCAGCCAGTATGGTGGTCACAAAACCTTGAATGCGTAAGGAAAGACGGTAGGGCGAGTGATACGTTACCAAAAGACTATAGACCGATTAGTCTCTCTTCCTTTCTACTTAAGACTTTAGATAGGTTACTAGACTCAGAAAGTGGGAACACTATTGACCATAGTAAACTTAGCAACTCCCAGCACGCATACATCAATGACAGATCAGTGGATACAGCCCTGCATGGGTTGGTTGGGTGCATCGAGAAGAATATGGAGTCCTCTGCTAGCATTCCTCGATATCGAGGGAAGTTGGAAACCATCCATTCTGCTCTAGTAAGCATTGGTATCCCCTCACTTCTTACGGAATGGATTGATAGAATGCTGGAAAGGAGAATTATCAGCTCATCCTTAGGAGGGAGTTCCGTGAGGAAATCTGTCAACAGAAGCACACCACAGGGAGGAGTACAATCCCCCCTTTTGTGGCTTCTGGTGATAAATGAGATACTTATAAAATTCAATCATCTCAGGATAAAGGTTGTAGCCTATGCCGATGATGTAGTCCTGCTGGTTGGGGGTAAGTCTCTAATGACAATTGCAGACATCCTGGAGGGTTCCCTTTCCACCCTGTCTAACTGTCTAACTCTTCACTAGAAAACGTAAGATTTGTACAGCGATCGGCTTCAATCCTGATCACCGGAGCCTTAAGAAATACACCACAGGCAGCCTTGAACGCAATTTTGAATATCCAACCTTTGGACATTCTGATTAAATTCCAGGCTGTTAGATGCACCCTGAGGCTCCGAGAAACGGATGCCTGGAAGTCGCTGAACTATAATGACGCTAGTATCCTCAACATAACTCCAGATTGTGATTTCTTGAGGAAAAATACTCACATTAGTGACTATGTTCCATCTCATAGAGACTTTAATGGCATCAGAGTAGATTTTCCTTGCAGGGAATCCTGGACTAATGGCTCCATACCTCTGCCAGGTTTGCAGTTTTTACTGTAGGGAATTAGGAACATATAACTCATATAAGCTTAACAATCTTTGCAGCGTTTTCCAAGCAGAGATTCTTGCAATCACGAAAGCGACCGAGTTAGTAAAATCACTTAATGCCGACATTACGGGACCGGTGACTATATATGTCGATAGTCAGGCGGCCCTCAAGGCTCTCTGTAGATGTCCATCGCTTAGTGGCAGAAAGCACAAACAGATATGAAATTGATAATCTAGCTTTCTCTTCTACAAAATAGACCCCAATCAGATCCTAGGCTTTGTCAAAAATCTGGCTTGGCTGAAATAGTCATCCAACTATTTTCTCCTCTCTTCCATTCTCTCTTTTCCCTTTTCTTCAAGGATGATCACAATGGACAATTGTCTCTGAGTGAACTGTTGTTACTAACAACCGTACATCCCTAACCTAAACTTGGAAGGTAGTGATCTAAGAATTTTAAAGTGGATAGTTGAAAGGCGCCATTCTTGCCAGCCATGGGATCATAGGTACTCGATTATTTCCTCCGAGACTCTCCCCCAGGACCAGCTGATTGTCCGCGAGTGCTTATTTGATATTCACAGCTACTATCCGCAACCTGTGGACGCGTCCGTTAGCATTAAGCTCTGCTCCTTTTAGTTTCCTTCTGTTGTCTAATGGTGATCTCCACATCTATAGTCGTCTAGGATGCAGTTTAAATAAAGTTTTGGTTAAATTCATCTTAACTGATAACAAGTCAAGTTGAAAATAAATAATAATAATTCTAGGTAGAATTGAATTTCTTTATCCGAGTCATTACCCTTTTTAGCCTTGAAGTCGCCTTGAATTATTGTTATTTCATGTGATTTCGACATTTTGAGCTACGTCTTTGTATAAATGTGCTACCTTATCATTGTTTCGAACACCCGAAGGAGCAAACATATGTATGATGTTCATATTCAGGGCGCTTTGCTGAAATTTTATCATCATAGTCCTCTCTGACATCGGAACGTAATTTGAACAATAATTTCTAAACCTGATCCAGAATGTTATAAACTTTTTGGAATTTAAATCCGCTGCAATCTGTCCACTAAGTTTCACTCAATTTTGAGTCGATACGTTTCGTTAATTGCATTACCACCTATATCTGGTAGACGTACTCCTTTCCGCGCCAACGTCTGTTGGGGTGCTTAAAAACAATAGCTCTGTCTGTTTACTCGATATTTGGTAACAATTTTTACCAAATGTTACTAAATGTTGTCTGTTTACCCAAAAATCCAGTAAAAGAGAGTCAAGTGAGAGGGCAAGTTTGACAGTTCAACAACAACAAACTTACTGGAGTTTACTGAAAGAATTTTATTCAGTAAGATTTTGCAAACTCAGCCAATTTTGTATCAGCTGTTTTATGACCAAATGCAAAAATTATTCAAAACATTTTTTTAATTTGCAATGTTCAATTTGAAGTTAAGTTGTATAAAAATTACAGAAAATTCGTAAGTAATGCAAAGTTTTATTAAATGAGAAACTAATTCCTTATATATTTTTAGGCAAGTTCAGATAGAGGGCTATGTATTGATGCAGGGAGCTTAAGTGTTCCCGGGGAGCATACCAAATCAATGTTTCTTTTGTTATTCGTTTTATTTTTAATATTAAATGCAATACAAATAATTGTGTTTGTCCTTTGTTCGTTGTTTATTTTGACGCAAATCAAATGTTTTCTTGAATCATCTGATTATTTGCTAAATCTTACTAAATGTCGCAATACAAGTAATTGTGTTTGTCCTTTGTTCGTTGTTTATTTTGACGCAAATCATCTGATTATTTGCTAAATCTTACTAAATGTCGTCTGTTTACTTTTCTCAGTATTATCGCAAAAGAGATTAAAAAAGGCTTACTCTCTGAACTAGAACTTACTGAATAAATGTTACTGGAAAAGTAACCAGACACACCTATTATTCTTTATAAAAAATGATTCTTTAAAGATTTTTTTTTGAACCACTCTAATACACAACAGTTTTTCTCAGTGATCTCTATACGAAACACCTATTATTCTTTATAAAAAATGATTCTTTAAAGATTTTTTTTTGAACCACTCTAATACAAAAAGAAAAAAAGAAAAAAAACAATCGGTTATGTTGTGATGTCGAACCCACAGATATTTGGAGTAAAAAATAAGAGAAGTACATAAAAAAACGTTTTAAGAGTATTGCAAAACCAAAAATAAACAGAGAAATAAAAGAGAAGAGACGCAAATAAAATTCACACTATTCTGACGAATATAACACGGCCATACAATCGGATTGCTGTTAAGGTGTTAAGAAGAAGCAAAAAAAAGAAAAAAATAAAAACAAAACTGTCTTTTTTCAATTCAATCGTAAACACGGCGGAGTAGAAACACGTTCCGTCGTCGTTCGTCGCGGAAGCAGCAACAGCCAGCCAGTGTATATTCATCAAAATAAAATCAAAAGTGATCGGGTTAATAGCATCGACGACAAGCAATTAAAAATATTTTTTATATACAAAAAAAAAACAAAAAACGACAGCTTGGAAACAAAATAACAAAAAAAAAACATACCACCACCGGCAAAAATATGCAAGCATGGTTACGTATATCCTTATTGTTATGCACGTTTGGCTTTTTTCGCGAAATGCGTCCATCCGAACCATTTGTGGTGGAATATTTAACCGGTCCGGATCGTAATATAACAAGTGAAGATTTAAATCGTGAAATATATCCATTCGGTACATATTCCGTACTCATTCAACTGGTCATTGTGTTTCTAATTACGGATATTTTACGATATAAGGCAATAATAATTGTTTCCGCGCTTTCGGGTATTGTTCTCTTCGGCATATTATTATGGACACAGACTGTGTGGGAATTATTGATAGGTCAGGTATTTTTTGGTACCTTTATGGCCAGTGAAGTAGCCTATTATACGTATATATATGCTAAAGTGGAAAAATCACGTTATCAAATTGTCTCCGGTCACACGCGTTCCGCAATATTGTGTGGCAAGTTTTTGGGTGGTGTTTTAGCTCAGGTGCTGGTATCAACGGATTCTTTAGATTATCGTGGATTACATTACATATCATTTGCTTCGCAAATCGTATCGTTATTTGTTGCTGTAGCCCTGCCGAGTGTTAGTCAAAGTATATATTTTTATAAAACTACAAAAGGTGATGATGGCGGAGCTGTTGTCGATAGTAATAAAGATAAATGTGAAAATAATATTGATGGAATAGCAGCAACACCACAACCTCACCCAGCTGAATTGGAGAATGGTAGTGTTTATACAGAGAATCACAAGAATACAATTGTTGAAAGGAGTGGTGAGTGATTTTTTTATCATTTTTTATAAACGATTTTGAATTAGAATTATTAAATGAATTAATGCAAAACAGAGACCGTTACTAAATCTATACTAATAAAAGAGTAAAGTTATTGACTGACTTACTTATTCACTGACTGACTTAACGATTCATCAAGGTCCAGACGAAATTTGGGTGAGGGTCACTCTTGCTCCAAAGGTATCAGATTCGTACTAGACGAACCGGTGCAGATAGAACTCTGAAATTTGGATTGAGGGCCATTGGTGGAGTGTAGGGTTGATGTACCATAAGGGTTTTTAGAAATTCTAACTATAAGTATCCAAAAAGTACTAAAATATACTAAATTTTCTTACAATTTCGTAGCATGTGAACAAATAGAGCCAAAAACTTGAAATTTGGAATGCGAATCAAGGTTGTGATGAAGGGTTGATAAAGAAGAGATAGACGCAATTGAACATATCATCTGTAGATGTTCATCGCAGAGTGGCAGAAGACATGAACAGTTTGAAAGATATGAAATCGATAATCTAGCTTTCTTCTCTAAAATAGACCCCAATCAGATCCTAGATTTTGTCAGATTTTGTCAAAAATCTGTCCTTCTTCTACAATTTTCTCCTCTCTTGGTGCAATTTGAATTTAGAGAAACGCATGAAGCTGGAATTCTGAAATTTGAAATTAACTTTACCGTCGGAGGATAGCGATTTGTAGGTAGTTTTGTGTACGAAAAGTACTAAATTGTAATACATTTGGTACAATTTGGATTTAGGGTGAACAGATAGAACTGGATTCCTAAAATTCGGATCACTGTTAAGGTGTAGGCTTGGAATATGTAGGAAGTTTTGGAAAATTCTACTAATGTGTACTAAATAGTACCAAATGTGTATTTGGCTGAACCAATAGAGCTAGAAACCCGAAATTTGGAAATAAGGTTAATGTTGTAGTGTAGGATATGTGTGTGGATGTGATTTTGAAAATGCATACTTATGGGTACTAAATGGCACTAACCTTGGTACAATTTAAATTTTGAGTGAACCGATATTTGAATTTTGAGTGAACCGATATTTCTGAGATCTGGAATTTTGAGTTAGGTATCTAGGAAGTGTTGGAAATTTGTACTAATGTGTACTGAATAGTACTAAATGTGTATTGTGGTGGACCGATAGAGCTAGACCACTAAAATTTGCAAAGAAGGTTACTGTTGTAGTAAAAAGTGCAGGTAATGTGGTATACCACATGATGTTAATCTGGTATAGTATAATTTTCACTTCCAATTGATATCTTATATAATTTATTGTTTTTAATGAATTTGAATTAGATCGAGATTTATGACTGTTAAGATTTTTAACGGATATTTTGAGTGCAACTTTAATTTTTATTATATAATAATGTCTACACATGCAATATTTAATTTTTGTATGGAGAAGTTGTTAAAACTCATAGCCTTTGTTTTTCATCCTTGTGTTTCATGGTAGCTCTCGTAGAGGACAAATGTTTCAAATAGTAATGAGATTTTGTCTTGTGCTGGCTTTTTTCATACAGACTCAAGGTATACCACATTACCTGCACTTGTGTTTACTGAATAAACGTATAGTTTTTTTTTCCTAAATTGGTAAATATGTGGTGCAATTGCGCATTTTATTTGATTTTTAGTATTTATTATTTTAATGCTTTAATAATAAAGATTAAAATACATCTGTAAAACAAACAAATATTTTTAAACTTTGAGAACAGCGAACTATACAACATGTTTCAGTTTTTTTTTTAAATTTTCAGTTTACAAAAAATGTGACTATACCACATTACCAAACTATACCACATTTGCATCACTTCCTATAATGTGTACTAAATAGTACCAAATGTGTTTTTGGCTGAACCGACAGAGCTAGAACACTGAAAATTGGAAATAAGTTTACTGTTAGAGTGTAGGATTGATGCATGGGTGTAGTTTTGGAAATTCATACTTATGGGTATGTAAAGGTACTAACTTTGGTACAATTTGAAATTTGGGTGAATTTTGGATGAGATTCTGAATTTTTTAGTTAGGATCACTTTTTGGATTGTAGGATTGATTAAATAATTCTCACATCCGCTAACCAATAGCGGGCATATCCTAGTGTGTAATATAGGTTGAGCGCAATTGTTTTGGAGGATAATCATAGAAAATGTCACCAAAATAATAAGGCTTTTGGTAAAAGTTGAAACGAAGAAATTGGAGTGGGGTGCGTTGGTTTTAAATCTCATCGAAACAGATATTTTATAATTGTTTCCTTTTGTAGATTGCAAATCTGAGCGGGGAATTTTTATTCAAAATATTGAATGAATTTTTGTGCTAGTTTTTATAATCTGTTCGTTATTTAAGACAGAGATTTACAATATCGCACAAAAAAATACTAGGTATGTTTGATAACTGAAAAACGTGTTACTGATAGTTAAAAACTTCGTTATTTTTCAATTTTATTCAATTATTTCAAATCAGATTTATTGTGAGCACTTATTTTACTGTTGTTGTATCAACTGAAATAAAAACAAGTAAAAAGGTGTCAGTCTGTATTGCCAATAGGTATATACCCTCACTCTATGATTTGCAAAAAAGGTTTTCGGAGTTACACACTGGTTTTATTATTCGTTTTGTTTTGTATTCTCTTCCGCTCCTTTGTATGCGGAAGGGAATACAGCTCTATCCGTTCAAATAAAATCAAATTGCACCAAATTTAGTACACATAAGTACTAATTTGCAAAACTATCTTAATCCTACACTTTAACAGTATTTTTTCCAAAATTCAGGAGTCCAGTTCCGTCCGTTCACACATAATCAAGTTGTACCAAATATAGTACCATTTAGTACAAATAAGTACTACACTCCATACCTTAATTTCACACTCCAACAGTAATCATTATTTAAATTTTTAGATTTCCAGCTCTCTCCATTCACCCAAATTAAAATTGTACCAAATCTAGTACCGTTTATTACTTTTCGTACACATAAATACGAATTTCCAAAGCTGTATCAATAGCTCAATTCTCAACAGTAATCGTAATTCCAAATTTCAAGTTTTCACTTCTAGCTGTTCACCCAAAATCAGAAAATTACTAAATTTAGTACTTTTTGTACCCAATCATCGCATAATATCGTACTAAATTTAGTACTTTCTTATCCACAACAAAACCTCAATCCTACATAATCCTTCATAAACAACCTCAATCCTACACTCCAACTGTGATTTTGATTCCCAAATTGAAAACTCCAGCTCTATCTGTTCACCGAAATACAACTTGCACAAGATTTAGTACTTTTCGTACATATTCGTACGAATTTTAAAAGCTACATCAAAATCCTGTACTCCAATAGTAGTCCTAATTCCTATTTTCAGGATTTAATCTCTATACGCTCCACTAAATGCAAATAGTACCAAATTTAGTACCCTTTCGTACTTTTTATACACATAAGTACAAATTTCTTAAACCATTTACATACATCAACACCACTTCCCAACCTGTATTTAATACAAAATTTCAAGATTTTAGCTATATATTTTCAATATATATAAAATTAGAACTAAATTTAGTACTTTTCGTGCACTTATAGGTCGCATTTGCATATCTTTCTAATTTTCTATAAGTGACCCAAATTCCTAATTTTAGAATTTTAGCTCTTTCTGTTCGCCTAATGCAAAGGGTATCATATTTAGTACTTTTCGTACCATTCTAGTTTGAATTTCCAAAAACCCAGCCTTATCTCATGCCTACACACCAACAACAATCCACACTCAAAATTGCAAGCTTCAGCGTTTCGTCTGGGTGATGATCTGTCAGTCACTCAATGAACACTAAGCTCATTTTTATCACATTTTTGGCTATCTGTGGAGAGGTACCAGAAGAGGTTGCACTATAGAAATTATTTTGACCCATATTCGCACATGATCTAAGTTTAGTAAAAGTATTACGATTTGCAAAGTTTGGATCAAATCCATTCATTTGATATTGAATTAACAAATTTTCAAAATATTGAGACTTTGGAGTGGACCGATGGGTCTCATTTTCGGACATGATCTAGATTTGGTAGAAGTATTACGATTTGCAAAGTTTACATCATATCGGACATTCAAACGAATGATATTGAATTAAAAAAGGGGCCCATATTCGGACTTCATGTAGGATTGTTAAAAATATTACGAGGGCAGTTCGGAAAGTTCGTAGCCTAGCACAAAAAGCGCGGTATAAACAGAAAAAAGTTAAAAAAGTTGACTCCAAATTGTCTGACACAGATTTGGTTCAAAGTAACATGGGGTTCGACCGAAACCAATATTTCGATGAGGCACATTTTTGCCATATCAAAGTGTATATAACCTCATTAACCATAAGGTGGAGGGTATAATAATGGAGGGTATATAATATTCGATATGACCGAACATAACACCTTTTTTAATTTTTTTTACTATTGATATTAATAACATTACCACTATTCCTTTTTCTAAATTTTCTTTTTCAGATTCATCCATCAATACGGATATTGATAAGCCGAAATTTTCGTGGAAAAATGCAAGCCGACTCTTGTGGCAGCATACCGTTAGCGCATACACAAATCCCACCGTATTAAAATGGAGTATATGGTGGTCGCTGGCAACATGTGGCCAATTGCAAGTTATTTCCTATGCACAAATTCTATGGAAAGAAATCGATGAAAATCATCAAAGTTATTATAATGGTGCTGTCGAGGCGACAGTTACCCTACTGGGTGCTGTCGGTGCAATGACCGCGGGCATGTTAAATGGCGTTTATCGTTCACAATGGATCTTAACAATATGCTCGATTTTAATGGGTGCATTTATGATCATATCCGCCGTCACAAATATCCTTTGGGTAGCATATGCTATGTATGTTATGTTCGGCATATTGTATTTCTTTGTCATAACCATTGCCAGTGCTATTGTGGCACGTAATTTAAGTGATGATAGTTTTGGTTTAATATTCGGCATAAATACCCTTATAGCTTTGATATTACAAACCATCTTAACTCTGGTTGTAGTTACAGAGGCTGGATATAGTTTAGCGCCGCGGGACCAATACATTGTGTATGGGTCATATTTTGTAGTATTAGCTGTTATTTTTATAGTCGTCGTTATTGTAGAACAATTTATTAAATGTACAACAACAAAGAAAGAGAAAGATTTGGATGTGGAATCGATACAATAGTAGTTGTAAGTGTTGTACAACGCAAATTATTTCGTGTTACATTCTTAGAAAATAATCAGGGATTTTTTTAAATATCTGTTTCCTCGTACATTTTGTATACGTATACGATTGTTTTTTTACATGTATAAGTAATTATAGATTTTAAGACATTTTATTATTATGTTTAATAAAATAAATATTTTATTTTTAATACTGATTTGGGGATTAAGTGGTTTTCCATGTCTCGTATGGTATGATTCAGTGGATAAATTTAAGGAGTTCGGCCGGGACCTCCACAGTAAGTATACTAATGTTAGTATCCTAATCAAATTTCTCACACTAATTGGAGCTATGCTATACTGCTGTAAATGATAATATACAAAAGTTGTTACATACGATGTTGGAAAATAAGAGTTTAGGAATATTAAATTCATGTTCTACTTAAAAATTATTGGTTGTTATTTAATATGATTTTACTTAAGTTTTCAAAAGCAATGTTTGGGAAAATCGCAAAAAAATCCCAATGAAATTAAATTAAATGTTAGGTGGTAAAATTATTATGATATTAAATCATTAATATGATTGTATTGAGATAGCCGACATCTTTCTCTGAAATTATTCGCCAAGGTGTTTTTTCTATCCATCACCAAATCAAAACCAGTCAGGGTATGTAGTCTTCTAGTTGAATATAACTATGGTTAATTGTAAATCATTTTGAATATCTTATTTTGCGAAACTTGTAGTTTTTTAATGTGGCAATATGATATAGAAGCTCATACAGGAACACAATAGTACATCACCGAAAATTTGATTTGAAAATGAGTATCTTATTTGTAAGACTTAGTTCAGACTTCCTGTTAATTAGGAGATACATAAGCCTGGCGAGTTTATTGATTTTGTCCACTATGTATGAAATGTGATACTTAAAACATAATCTTTCATCTATTACGGTGCCGAGATATTTGACATTATCTTTTCACTCCATTGAGCAGTTGTTAAATAGTAATGGCCGTTAAGGGACGAAACATGATTTGCGTCTTCTTGTAAAATATATATAGCTTCAGTTTTATCATGGTTCAACAAAATTTTCTATTTTTGAAAAAATCAAATCATTCTTGGATGCCATTTTCCAAATTTAGCCAGTATATCGTTCGCATAAAAATCTGAACATAAAATAGAGGTGTCATCAGCAAAAACAGATGCGGTTCATCCAATTAGTGATGTGCATGTCAGAAATATAAATATTATATAAAATAGGTGATAAGTTAGAAGCTTGGGGAAATCCTAAATTTGTATACCTGACTTTGGAAGAAGTTGTTCCGATATACACCTTAAAAGATCTTCCATATAAAAAGTTTTGAATTATTTTAATGAGTTCCATGGGAAAATTAAGTTTTTTTGTTTAATATGTGAAGGAGCTTTAATTTCCAATAGAACCATTCCCGTAGATTTTCCCTCATTAAAATTGTTGGAGAACAAATTCTTTATTTTAAGCAGAGGATGTGTTGTGTTATGTTCTTCTCTGAAACCGAACTGCTGTTGAAGAGGGATTATATTGTTTGAGTGTGACAAAATTCAAAATCTTATGCATTATAATCATTTCCAATATCTTGCTTAATGATGACAATAGACTAATCGATCTATATGAAGCGGGATTTTCTGGAGACAGGAGTTTTGGATCATTTCCAATCAAAAGAAAAATACAAATTTATAAGGCAGGAAATTAAAAATGATTGTAATATATTTTTTGCTTTCATAAGCAAATGTTTTAAACATTTGTTGTTAATACCGTCCAATCCTGGAGATTGGATGATTGTATTTCTAGGATGGTTGTATTAACCTCGGAAATCGTTGTAGGGTTGCTATGATGATTAGACATGTTGTGATTGTTTAGGAAATGAGTAGCATATTATTTCGCATTTATCCATCTGGGAATAATAAAATTGATTATTTTGGGATATATGTAAGGTATATTTCGAGTTTTCCTCTTCAAAATTTTAGAAATTTTCCAAAGTGGTTTCGATGAATTGTCCAATTCAGATGGTATTTTATTCATCAATATTCAATATTTTAAAAAATTTAGTATAGATCCCCTTGGGGTCCTGCCTAAATTTTTGGTAATACTATCTTCAACGGCATCTTGATTTATATTAGTAAAAGTTTTAACTTCCGCTTCAATTTGGTTTGAATCAGCACACACGGAGGGTGTTCAGAAGTTGAGACTTTGTTTTTAATAAAGCTTTTAAATCGGAACCAGTTAGCTTTATTATAATTGTAATAAATGTTGGTCAAAGTAACTGAACTTAAATTGACTTCGCAGATAACCGGCAGATGGTCAGAGCACAGATCGTTTGTGGCTTTTATGATAGCTATATGAACAGAGATATTTGTTAAAAATACATCTAAATTGGACGGACGTCTTCCAATGTCTGCTGGTATGTATGTTGAGGTTTGAGGGAATATAATTTTTAATAACTTTTTTAAGCCACCTCTGTAGTTTCTTTATGTTGCAATTTGCTGCCTCCGAAAATAATGGTGCACAATAATAAAACATTGGTAGAAAATTAATGTTATAATCAGTTCCCTTAGTTGAAAAGAAGCTTAGAGGATCTCTGTATCGACTTTTTATCAATTCCGCTGCCTTCCAAATAGCGAAGATTTCAGTTGGGAAAACACTACAGTTGCTATCCAGCTTGTAGGTAAGCTCAAGGACTAGTTCAAGGACCGTTTCCAGTCGTCTCTACTAGGAATAACGTAATCTACATTGACAAATCTCAGGACTGGTGATATATAGTCGCTTAGTTTTACGTGTTGGTCTACCGTCATACCTAGTTCGTTCAGGATACATCCATGTTATGTGGGATCTAAAGCTAGGCATCATTAAATTATAAAAAAAGTAAAACCAATATTTCGTTGAGGCAAAAATACATATACCCTCAGCACTAGCCATGAGGCTGGCGCATGCCTTTCATAGGTGCCTCTCATTTTTCCTTACATCTTGATTTTCAAGACACTTTCCATCATCATTCATTGCAGTATTGTGTAGTTCCTAGTGGAACTTGGAAACATGATTGCAATTAAATGTTAGTTCTGCTATTATGGAGAGTATATAAATTTCGGCCCGGCCGAAGTTAACACCATTTCTATTTCTTTATAGGAAATTGTAATTTTTTAAAAAAAAAACAACAATTATTGGATCCGTACTTACCTCACATTTGAATGGCCTCTCTCCCGTATGGATACGTTTATGTATTAACAAATAACCTTTGTAATGGAAAATCTTGCCACATTCTAAACATTTATCTGGAATTTTTAAAGCTTTCTTCATTTTTGCCAATGGAATATTACTCTGCTCTGGTGGTTTCTTATTATCCTCTGCAGGCTGTACTCTTTCACAATTAACGTTTGCATTATGAAGACTTTCAAAATTATTATTATCACTATTATCATTATGCGTCATTTCGCCAATTGCCGTGGAAGAAACATCTAATGACATACGAGTAGTAGTTCTACCAAATACATCACTCAGTGTTTCATCCGCTTCGGAACGTGTCAGGCTACTAACATCAATTTCAACATCATTCAGCAATTCAACATCATCACCGACAACTTCAACAATATCATTGGTGACATCACGATAGAACATCATATCACATAGGTTGGCAACCGATACACTATCATCGGGTGTATCAATCGGTTTGGGGGATATGGCGTTGTTGAGCACTGAACCAAGATTACTGGAAGAGAAATGTGAATATTAAAAAAAAGTGAAACTGATATATTCTGTAATATACCCACCTTATCGTTGGTTGGGTGGGGGGTGGTGGAATACCAAAAAAATATTCCCTTAAACGTCTTTCCGATGCTTCAGCCAATTGTTGCAGATTGTAGGCATCCAATAGCCGGTACAGACATGATTGACACAACAAAGCGGGGAAAGCCGATTCATCATTGGCCTGTAAAAAGCGATAAAAAAATAAATTGAAAAATAAAGATATAAAAAACAGAAATATTCAACAATCAAATCAAAATCGTTCATGTGCAACTTACATTAACATTGACAATTTTAAGCTTCTGCATCATTTCAATGGGCCGTATTAGAAATGTTGGACTATATATCGACACCAGAATATCATTTTTCAAACAAATGCGACAAATTTTATGTAACGACAGAGATTCCATGGCGTTTTCGCCTTTTATCGGCAACAGCTATTTCCACATAAAATAAACAAAACAATTTTGTAATCCTTGTTGATAAGCAAATCAGAGCGTATCCTTTCCTTTCAATTATTTTCCCGTTAGAATATTATGGTTACTTTTTTATACAAGTAACCATAACATGATTTAATAATCCGATTAGATAAACGTAAGTTTTCGTTATGTGCATAACGTACGTAACGTTTAAAGGATGTGATTATGAACATTTTAAAGCATACTTTTAGGATGATAATAAGTCATACAAATGGAAAGGTAAGGATTGGGGATAAGCAGTCTCTAATATGGCTGCAGCACTCTGAGAAGGTCAGGTCCATTGTGATCATCCACGAAAAGAAAAGGATATGGAGAGATCTATGGGGGAGAAAAAAATAAGGGGGATAGAGAGAAATTAGAAGCTAACAAGGAAGTGTGAAAAGGTAAGTATGAGATAGTATCGATGGCTATAAAGATCGAACAGGAAATATATTACCTGCCAAGGTTGCAACCACTTTAGGTTTCAGGTGCCAACCACTTGAGGTTTCCAATTATGCTGTAGATTAGAGCAGGTTCCATTGTTGAGAAGAAACTAAGACTCGGTGGAAAGTGAGCAACCAACAGTCTGTGCCGTCTGTAGGCCAGGACTGGACAGCGACACAGATGATACTAAATTGTCTCCTCCTCGTCAACGCAGAGTCTGCAGTAATCAATAACATCATGGTCCCATTTACTGGTAAAGGCCCTGATATTGCAATGACCAATAATGATTCCTGTTATTACTCTTATTTCAGCTTTTCTCAGGTTCAACAGTGAATGTGTCCTTTTGGTAGACAGAATCGGCCAAATGGATCTTGACACTTTGCACCTAGGTTCGTTGTGCCAAAGTTCATAGGCTCTTTCGTCGAAGAATGCCTCACAGTTCCGATTAAGTTGACATATTGGTGGTTTGATTGAGGAATCAATTGCTAGATCTGTAGATTGAGATCCTCGTCTAGCTAATTCGTCTGCTTTTTCATTGCTTATGATGTCACGGTGTCCTGGTACCAAACACAGCCGATAGCTGTAAGTGAGTGTTTCCAAAACTGCTCTACACTCGAGGACGACCTCAGATTTGATGGTTTTAAGAGCCGCCTGACTATCCACAAAGATAGTCAGCGGTTCAAGGATCTCTGCATCCAGACTTTTTTATCAATTCCACTGCCTTCCAAATAGCGAAGATTTCAGCTTGGAAAACACTCCAGTTGCTATCCAGCTTGTAGGTAAACTCAAGGCCTAGCCTTTCACAGTAGACGCCAGCCCCTGTACCTTCTTCCATCTTGGATCCGTCTGTATAGAAAGCTAGACCATCCAGAGGAGGGTTACTCCGGCGCCAGTCGTCTTTACTAGGAATAACGACATCTATATCACCAAAGCCTTCGGTTTGATATTTCCTTCGAAGGTAAGCGTATCCCCACCAACCATAATCCGAAAAATCCTTTTGGTGGTCTCCGACAACCTCCTTTACTTCTCCTCACAATGCAACTACGTAAACCATAAGGTGAAAACTAGGAATAAAATTCTGAATGTTTTGGCTGGTTCCTCCTGGTGCAAGGATAAAGAAGCGTTGGTAACGCGACATACAGGCCATCAGCCAATTTGTTTTTCCGGCTAGCCTCTTCAAATCCTGACTCCATTAATACAAGTTAATATATATTTCCAATATTTTCAGGAAACAACTTTCAACAACGGCCAACCTGTTACAACAACAATAGGTTAGTATGGGGAAAATCGGATAATACGGTCGAAGTATTTGATGTCCTTCCGAATGTAATTTAAATACCACTTACCATTAGACCAGAAAAAATGAAATAAAAATTATAGACTCTTCGCATATAGTCTTTATTCTCAATAAAAAAAATATTTGTTCTCTTCTTCCGTTTTCTTTTCTTCTTCTTACAATTCTAACTTATATACTACAAAAATAAAGAAGTGTATAAGACTTATTCCATAGGACTTTGGATTAGATCTACATCATTTACAATGTATAATAAAATTAATTACAAACAAAACAACAATTTTGATAAAAAAGATAATAAAAATAACACAATAGCAATGTTCGAGAGAAGGGAGAGGAGGGAGGGAACGAAGGTTAATGGAAATAGATAATAGGCCTTTAAGTAATTTCTTTATTTTTCTCTTTTATCAAGTAATTTCTTACACTTGATAACGTTGCTTATTATGTCATGCCATACGATATATGTCACCAGATCCATATGTATAACGACGATCTTTCAACGTTGGTTCATCTTCGACCATTACTTCATCATCGTATTGATTTAGTTTTTGCATTTTTGGACGCATAATACCGCGCACATCGTTCAACGATATGTCCATATCTTTGAAAGCATTCAACATAAATACTGCACTTATAACTACAAGGAACCCACAGATATCGCCTAGAATATCCTCAAAACGCATATGGGTAAATTCTTTAAATAATATCGCCGATGCGGTTATGACCAGTGTTGTAAACATTACATAATAGATGGGTGTAACTATGCCCGTATTGAAAATATCCAAAGCCTTGTTGAGATAATTCATTTGTATGGCAATAAATGTCACGGTGACCAATATCAGAAACCATGGCATCCAAGTGGCAAAATCATTTCTACCGGAAATTGTATCACGTATCGCTAAACCTAAGGCTTTACATGACATTACCGTTAAGGAACCAATGCCGGAACATAAAAATATATAAATGACGACATTATTATGACCGTGTCGGGGTGCAACAAAAAATGCCACAAATATTGTGGAGCCAATAATGAGTATAACATAGAATATAAAACCAGGATCTTGCAATTTTTCAAACAGTACATCTAAATCTTCGATTTCTTTTTCCTTCGGTGAGTGTATGACGACAATCGTTGATCCCACTATACACAAGAAACAGCCTAGTTTTCCAAGTAAATTGAGTTTTTCATTGAGGAATTGTGATGCCATAACAGCGGATATAATGACGCTCAATGCGCCCAAGGGCGTTACCAATGAGGCTGGTGCAAAAGCATAGGCGGCAAAATTTGCTGCTTCTCCAAGGCCCACTAGAATGGAAAACAAAATAGAAAAGAGGAAGGAAAAGACACATTAATATTTATTGATATAAAACAATTAGTCATAGAAAAATAAGTAGAACAACACGTCAATAACAAATTGTGGACCTATGACTAATTTCTTCAAGAAGATTTTAAAATCCTAATAGAGAAAAATCATAAAATATTTAAAAAAAATTATACAAGACAAAAAGTATTGCTATGATAACACATAACAATATGTAAACTTAATGCAAGCTAACTCAGGACCTTATATTGGGAATTTTATACCAAAAATGTTCCTACATACGATAGCCCCGAATCAAGCAAAAAGTCTAATTATATTGAAAAACATATTTGAATTTTCTTCAAATGCTTCCAATATTAACCAGAAGGTGAAAGCTAGGAATATAGTTCTGAAAACTTTGGCTGGCACCTCCTGGGGCAAGGATAAAGAAACGTTGGTAACAACATATAAGACCATAGGTCGTTCTATCCTTAATTATGCTGCCCCAGTCTGGACTTCTTTCCTTAGTGATACACAATGGAGAATAATGCACTCCGAATTTCAACCGGCTGTGTCCAGAAGACGAGCGTCGATCACCTCTACGAGGAAACCAGAATGCTGTCATTCAAGCAACATGTGTTGTTGACTAGACAGTTCCTGCTGGCATGTTATCTGCCGTGTCATCCCAACCATCACACATTGATGGCAGATCCACCTCCACGACACATCCGTCAAAATTTCCGGCGCTATCTTGATGGCATCCAAGACGACATTCCATCGGACGTCAACAGATTGTCGATCGCGAACGCGAGAAATCCCTGCATAAACTGGAGGTCTCCGAAGCCATAAATGGCTATAGATGCAACATAGTCCATCCTGCAATTTCAGACAGTGAAATTCTTCTTCCGAAAACGCATTGACCCCGGAACCCTAAAAATAGATGTCCCTTCTGTCAGCAAAGCGTTCACGACACACTAGGCCTATTCTGTAACTTGTTGAAAGTTTCTGAACGTGTCCAGGATACTATTGATTTCTGACACGCTAGCTCAAGGGGGAGAGTTATTCAGAGAAGGTTTCCAACCCTTCCAGGGAGAGAATCAATTGACAGAGTCTTTGTGCTGCATTGACCAACATGTATTACTCGGAATTGGTACGACTGGGATTCATCCTTTAGTTCTATTTGTCAAAACGCGTACTTCAGGTCGACGATGCTGATATAATGTATTTGATCTATGTGACTCAGAATCAGTCAATATTTTCTAAGGGATATGTGTCTTTCATAGTTAGTGCATTCAGTTTTCGAACATCCATACATAATCGGTTTTAATCGGATTTTCAAACTATGGTGGTTCTGTCGCTTCACAATGTTTCGCTTTCTTTAATAACATTTATTTATAAACGAATTCATATATTTAAAACCAGTGCGTGGTTGCGTATTTTATGGTATTCTCACGGTTTCTTACACAAAATAGTGACTGCCTCCATTTATATTTGCCAAAACGCGTACTTCAGGTCGTCGCTACTGATGTAATGTATTTAAGACGGCACCTATTTCTATTTGCCAGAAGGCTACTTCATGTCGTCGCTGCTGATGTAAAGTATTTGATCTATGCGACTCAGAATCCCGTCAATATTTTTTAGAGGATATGTGCATTCAGTTTTCGAGCATCCATACATAATCAGTTTTAACCGGATTTTCTAACTACGGTGGTTTTGTTGCTCCACGGAGTAACACTTTCTTCAATAACATTAAGTGCGCGCTTGATGTTTTTCTTTTAAACGATTTTCAAATATTTCAATATTTATTAAACTTCAACCGATTAATTGATATTCTGTCCTCATCTTGGCTAGGTGGTATACAATTTATACCGTTATCTCTAATTGGTTCTGGGGTATCTTCTCCACCGTTACTCTTTGATACCAAAAGCTTCGTAAAAAGCTCCTTCCAGATCCTCAAGACATTGTCTGTAACAATCACCAGGTTTCCTTTTTCATCCCTACAGGTGAATCTGCCCGCAACAAAGCCGTCGGTTTGGTGTTTTACTCGTTGGTAACTATACAAAAGTATAACTTTTTTCTTGTGGAAATCCGTATTAGTAGATAAATGCTTCTCTAAAGTTCCACTTGTATCGTTGTATTTTCTCATGATTTTTTAAATTCACTTAAGCAATATTTTGAAATTCTGATCACAAAAATGTTGTTTTCTTAAAGAAAAAGTCCATATTTCCAGAGATAGGAGTCTCCAAAATTCCGAGTTGCAAAAATATAATTATTTTATTAAAAAAAAGTCAATGCTTCCAGAGGCTTTTATTTTTTAATAATTATATTGGGAGGCCGGCCTTTAACCGGGGATTTAAGACTGTCTCTTATTGACAAATGGCAACTTTAGAGAATCTCCTCTTAAAAAAATTTTCTGTCCCAATACATTCACTCTTGAATAAATGTCGTAACCCATTAAGATGATAATGGAGTTTAATATATCAAGACATATGGACTTCTTCGAAAAGAAACTACATTGTTGTAATCCGGACTTAAATAGCTTTGCTCGGTTGCGAGATCTCCTAGTATATTTTTGGCCGAGCCGTTTGTTTCGACAGGGAGATCCTGTCCATTTGGAGCTCACGATGAAGAGCGTGCGGATAAGTTCTTTTGAACTTCCTTAGGAATTTCATCTTGTCCTTGAAGAGATGACCTCCCTCTCCGAAAGCAAATTTGCATCTCGACCTACGAATTTGCGGATATAAGATACGGCACGTTTATAGTGCTTCGCATCGGATGCTTCTCGGGCAGTTCCGACCTTTGAATCTTTCTCCGTTGTTGGGGTCGCTTCAGTCGCGGTCTGCCTTTGAACCTTATTGCCGGCAATTACCGACACAGGACATGTTGAAGTCAGACTTGAATTCGGAACCTGTGTAGACTTGGCCAGAATCACCGTAGTGTCGAGCTCATCATCAGTTAAGGTAAGATTTAGTAGCAGTTCCTCCGGAAGTATATCCACACTTTGCTCTTCCGGTACAAACCTGTCCAGCTGCTCGAAGAGTTCCATGTAGGTCGTCCCCTCCCTGAACTACAATCGTTTTCCATTTGAATTGCCGGGTTGTCATCTTTATTTGGGGTGCCAAGGCATCCACATCTAGAACAGCCGGATCACAATCGTTTTATCACGACGACACGTGGCTTGGGATCTCACCAACGATTGCGCCCGTATTGGGTTACTAACTCTCTGCACCGTAACTTTATTTTTCTTATTCTTATTTAAAATCTTAATTCATTATTTGAAGGGCAATACCCCGATCCATTTTGGTCCACGGTGGATCCGAAGACACCAAGGTTTTCACGAAACGCAGAAAAAAATCCGGCCTAGTTTGACCTAGGTCAGCTCCACCCTGCACATCGTAGAAATCACCTTCCCATCCACCACCTGGGAAGACGCGACTAGTAGGAGATTTGCAACTCCCCTACATAAGTAATCAGGTACCTTAAACTAGACTTAAACGGATTTGTCTTTCTTTTGATGGAAACCTTATTCACTATGGAAACCTTAATAATAAGACAACGCCCTGTCCGTTTACATGACACAGATATGTCAGAAAACAAAAACAATAAATACCATTGTAACATCTTAAGAATTCCTCAACATCAATGGGACACATACAAACATACAGCATTATCAAATTAGTATTGCAATATGTACATATATGAATGCACTGGTACACTTACTTGTCAATAAACCAGCCCACCATATCCACTCCTTTAAATAACCGAATCCCCCTGCTGATGCTCGAAGTTCACCATGACGATTCAGGCGCATTAATGCCTTTTTCTTGATAATAAAACTGGAACCAATAAAGAAACATGAACTTATGGCGAGGCCAACACCAATGTAGAAATCGGTTTGTCCATAGAGTTCTGATAGGGACGGTGATGAGGTATTACTAACGGCACTAACATATCCTCCTCCATTATTGCCATCGGTCATCATCGATGGTGAAGAACCGCCGCCAACGCCAGCACCACCAACTTCAATAGTCATTTGTTTTCGTTCAATTTACTTCAATAGAAAAAAAAAACATAGATAAAAGATATGTTTGTTTCTTATCATTTCCTTGTTTTCGTGGTGATTTATAATGTAAATTATTACCACCTTTGAAATTATGACTCACCTGGGATCGTTTTAAAATTCTAAATAAAGAAATCAATATTCATACATTTGCATGAAATGTTATTTGATTTCCTAAAAAAAATACTGTTTATTCGGATAATAGTTCGTAAATCACAGAGTGCTTTTATTTGAATTACTAATATTTTCTTTTCGTTTTTCGCCAATGTCGTCGGCTGAGGATAAGTAAATCAACGACTGAATTGAAAAACGTTCCACCTGCTAACGAATGGCAGGAGATGACATAATGGCCGATAAAGATGAACTCAAAGTGGTATATCCCGAATATTACGAATAAGGGGGTTGGAGACCAAATGAGAACCGTATTGTTTACAACATATACACTCACAGTCGTCAGCTGTCGTCGCCTCAATCGAAGCTAATTTGTGAGCAGAACTGCTAAGATAGTGAGATGACGCAGTCAAACAGCTGATTTCTGTATAATAGGTTGGTCCTTTGTTTGCTTTTTCAAAAATATTGTTTTGGGCCAGAAGTAACTACAGTTGGGTCTATATTTCTGTTAACGACAATGTTGAATAGTTTTTATTGCACAATTTTATTATATTAAAAAAATTATAAATAAAATTAGAATAAACTGAAAATAACCTAATAAATTGAAACTAAATTAAAATCTTGGACCCTAATAAAATTAGCAATAATATTAAGTGGTTGGACTCATCCAGAAGGATATGGAGTCCTCCGGCTACATTTTGTCTGCGTTCTTCGACATTGAAGGAGCCATCAACAATGTGAAGCTAGAGGCTATACATTCTGCTCTCGTAAGCTCAGGCATTCCCTCAATCCTAACGGATTGGATTGCTAGAATGCTGAAAAGCAGAATTATCAACTCCTTGGGAGAAATATCCGTGAGGAAATCTGTCAACAGAGGCACATCACAAGGAGGAGTATTATCTCCTCTTCTATGGCTTCTGGTGATAAATGATATACCGCTGAAATTCGACCATATTAAAATAAAGGTTGTAGCCTAGCCGGTGGGAGGTTTCGGCCGACTATTTCAGATATTCTAAAGGGCACCGTTTCAACTCTGTCCAACTGGGCACACGCCAATAGTCATGGTGCTCTTCACTACCTTTTTTTCTCAAAAATGTACCCCAATCTGGGGATTAAAATTTCGAATTCTATTTTTTCGGGAAGAATGCTCTTTTTCGTAATCAGAGCTTATCCGCATAAAAACAATACCCATATCGTCATAGTTATTTTGCGTAATTTTGGAGACCAAATTCTCACAAAGTGTGGATTTTCAAATAAAAATAGATATAATTTTAATCAGGACAACTAGTGTTACTTATAATCATTATGATCCGCGATCGATTTTATATATTTTAAAAGTTCTACCGCTTTTTGAGTACTGGAACTAACCCATTAACAGGAATTAACTGCAAAGTTTGCCACATCAGCTGTTTCAATGCGCATATCGATTTTTAGAAACCTTCTCTTACAATTTTCAATTGTTGTAACTCTTTTTATCGTTTTTGTTTTGATTCTTGACCTTCTATTATTGTCTATTCGCCTTGTATTTATATTTTCTTTGTTACTTTGAAGGCGTCATTCGTTAATTTTATTAAACAAGTAATAACATTTTTCTAGAGCATATCCTGACCTGCAGTCCATTGTGGATCCATAAAAGTGTGAAAGATTCGTATACATTATGTCGTGTGAGGTTAAGACATATGGAAATCTTAAGGATTTCCACAAAGTACAAGAATATTTTGGACTTAAACATGGTGAGGAAAGACATTCGATTTCCCGACCTTCAAAATACTTTGAATTGTTGTATTTTTCCAGATGATAACTGGTTGAGTGGCATCAACTATTCCATATCACCGGCAGGTGAAATGATTGCCATGGCATTGGGTGAAAAATTGGCTTTGTTAAGCTCCTGTTGGGATAGTAAACTGCAAACCTCCACATATACCCTGAGTTGGTGTGGCGAATTGGAGGATCCAAATCAAATTGTTACATCCGTATTGTGTTTACCGATGTTTGGTAAAACCGTGAGCTCGGGAGCCGAGTGGACATGTATTGTTATGGGTCTTAGTTCTGGTATGATGGTATTCTATACCGATTCGGGTATCAAATTATATTCACAGAGGTATGTTGAGTGTGGCAACAATGGGTATTCTATATATGATCGATTATTTTTTCAGTTATCACGAAAGTCCGGTACAAGCCATTAAGGCCTACACACCTCCACGACATTCCGAAGCAGATGCCTTTGTCTATATTGTATACGACCATTGTGTTTGCATATTAAAAGGTTCCGATTTAATACCACACCTGAATAATTTACGTCACAATCTCAATCGTAGTGTGGGTCGTATGAATTCCATTGCTGAGACTGCTGATTTACTGCCATTTCAAAAATTTACATTTCCCAATGAGAGGGAGACAATTATTAATGATGCCATAATTGATGCAACCCAAACGCCCCGAGTCTATGACAACATTGTTGATCAATGTGTTTCATTTGGTTATCATGCTCGGGTATCTTCGACCACTATGAAAAGCTCCACGGTTGTGGGTGTGGGAGCTGAACCATGTCTGGGTTATTACATGGCCGAAGAGGGTTATAAGGCAATCTCAATAGGGGAAGTGGCCAAAGATGTTATTGGCATGGCCTATCGTAATATTATGGGTAATCTTTTTGGTCGTCCGGCACCACCACCCACACCCTCTCCAGAGGAACAACCCGCCATGGGAGCGGGAAAGGAATTGAAAATGCGCACAAAATGTCAATTTTTTGATGAAAAACGGGATGGCAATACAATTGTAATAGCCCCCAATGGCCGTCTGGCGGCTGTAATTGATAGTCTGGATAGGGTGTTGTTGGTGGATACACAAAGATCGGAGATTATACGGGTTTGGAAGGGCTACCGTGAGGCTCAGTGTGCCTTTGTACCGGTCAAAGAGAAAACCTTAAAGGGGGTACAGACTTCGAGGAGAAAAACTTTGTTTTTGGTTATCTATGCACCACGTTTGGGTTGTCTGGAAATATGGCCACTGCAACATGGACCCAAGGTCGCTGCTTTTACGGTTAGCAAAAATGGACAATTGGCCTACAATACACATGGTCTGCTGGGTAAGTTGCAATGTAGATAAATGATATTAATTGGAAATAATAAAATCTCTTTTTTTCTATTGACTTCCAAGGCCTCACCCCGGACAGTAAAAACCGTACACATATCAGCCCCTGCCTGTTTTTGGATCCCAGCGATGCCAGTGTCAAAGAAATTCAAATACCCTTTCATTACGCCCTGAGTACGACCAATTCGGCCACCTCCAAAGATATCCATCTGCTCAGACGTTTAAAAAATCTCCTTCGATCCAGTGATAACACCAAATTGGACATAGAAGAAATTAGCTCAATGGCTGCGGATTTTCAAACCATTGAAGTGAGACAACAATGTCTGGAAATGATATTGAAAAGTAAACAATTACGTGCTCCCATATTCCAAAGTATAATCAATGCATTTGATTTGACGCTACAACAACAAATTGAAAATCCCGAAAAATATAACATCAAGTCACTCGCAGATTATAGACATTTTCAAATAGTTATACGTAACTATAAACGTCTATGCGTATTCTATATGGAAATGAAAGTACCACAAAAACGAGAATATGTTGATACCCTGGAATTGGATGAAACGGATTTGGTTATAATACAACAATTGGTATTGCTGCTAAGTGAATCGTATCTGCTAAAACAACAAATGAATGAATTTGGTACTACGGTAAGGGGTGTAACTTTTGGTGCTGAATTCGATGATGTTGGAGAGTTTGTCGAGTTCTTAAACATTTTTCAAGTTGATCAGGAATCTTGTGTACCGCTGCTTAAGGAGAAGTCCAGCAATTATGGTGAAGTTAGTTCGAAATTATTTAATCATTTCTTCACCCAAGGCCTGTGTTTTGATCAATTTAAATTGGCCGCAGAAAAGTCGCTGATACCAAATCAAGATTTATTGGTTTTGGCTTTGTACTATTGGCTGGAGAAACCATTTACCTATAAAAATTGGTGGGTAGTTCTTGGCCATTTTAAATGTGTTTTCTATATATTAATTATTTTTTTTTAGTGATGAAGTCATTGCCGATATGTCCCGTTTGGCCGAAATGATTAAAGCCATTTGCCAATTGGCCGGGGATGTTGTCAACAATTATGCCTACAATGCCATTTCACCCTGGTGGCAATATGTTCGAGAATTGCTATTGGATAGTCCCAAATCGTTGGGTTTACTTGTGGCTATTGTCTGCAAAACTGTGGCCGTATCCCTGAGAAGAGAATTTAAAGAGGTAGGTCAATGAAATACCTTTGATTTTTTTGAGTATTGTGCCGTATACGATTTCTTCATCGTAGAAGCGCAAAATTATTCACTACGCTTAATCCGGATGGAATATTTATGATAATAGCGAAGCAGCTTGATGAGCCAGGAGTAGAGTACCTAACCAAAGTCCTCAATTTGTCGTTACTTACTTAGCTGGCTTGTGGCAGAACTTTCGTTCCATAAGCAGATCTTAAAAAAAGACTTCAAGGTGCGTCGGTCTTTTGCGCAGTTTTTCCAATTTGAAAGACCATATTCGGCAATGCTGTCTTCCAATTGATCTTTCCATCTTATTCTTGGCCTTCCCCTTCTGCGTGAAGTAGCACTTTTATATGCCTTCTGGGCTGGGTCATCTTCATCCATTCTCACAACATGACTTAACCATCGTATTCGCTGCAACTCAATACGTCTAACAATGCGACGGTGATATTAACCGTCAACGGTCCATAGATCTTTCGGAGAATTTTTCTCTCAAACAATCCAAGAGCTACCTCATCTGCTTGCCTAAGTATCCATGCTTCAGATCCATATATCAGTACGGGTAGTATCTGCGTCTTGTAGAGTGTGAGTTTGGGCTGGCGGGAGGTGCCCTTGCTTTTGAGTAGCTTACACAGACCATAATAGCATCTGTTTGCCAACACTATCATTCTCCGAATTTCAAAACTGATGTCATTAGTTTCATTTATAGTGTACCAAGGTATATAAAATCTTTGACTAGCTCGAAGCTGTAGTTCTCAAGTTCCACAGTTGGTCCGAGTCTACTGGACGTCTTGCGCGTTGATACCATCAGCTTGTTCTTCTCGCCGTTTACTGCCAGACCCACTTTGGCAGACTCCTTTTCAATTTGTTCAAAGGTGGCTGTTGCCGCTCGCAATGTTCGACCCATTATATCGATGTCATCGGCGTAGGCGTAGGCGAGTAACATGTGTTGTTTGGTGTACAGAGTGTCATTTCTGTTCACCTTTGCCTCTCGTATGCCCTTTTCCAGCAGAATGTTAAAAAGTTCACACGACAAAGTGTTACCTTGTCTGAATCCTCGTTCGAAATTAAAGGGCTCCGAGAGGTCCTTTCCGATTTTAACTGCTGATCTTGTGTCAGTTACAGTTATCCCGCATAGCAGAATTAATTTTGAAGGAATGCAAAACGCATAAACACCTCTGAACGTAGACACTTATGTCGACAAATAGTTGGAATGCGTCGATGTGATTTGCCAGGTTAGAAGCCGCATTGGTATGGTCCAATAATGTCATTGACCATTGACTTCAGTCGTTGACTCGGATTAGTTTATTGAGAGTCCGCCTCACTGAAATACCTCGACATCCGGCTATGAAAGTCGTAGCCTTGTCTTTCATTTTCTTCCTTCATATGCCTAGGTCAAATTTAGTTGATATCTAAATTATTCTTTCGATATTTTAGGGTTCCTGTGATGAAAGTCCCCAACAAGAAGATGATAATTTTGAACGTATATCTCACGACGAAGCTCAATGGGGTCTATTAATTGGCAAACTGGAAGATATTGCAGTATTGGGGGCGATTTTAGAGTAAGTTTTGAAAACAATAACATGACCTATTTTTTAAAATAAATACTATTGATTCCAAACATATAATGTAGATACCCCATAATAAGTCTGGAACCAATAATGCCTGAAATACCCTACGAACAACCCGATTGTAGTTTAAAAGCTATTGTGAGTGGTGGCAAGGGCATCGTTACCGATCTAACTGCAAAATGGTTAATAAACACCCGAATACATCCATCGAAAATTGTAGAGATTGATAAAGCTGAAATAGTACAAGAAAATAACGGTGATTTGAATGCCACAAAAACATCTGCGCTTTATGAAGATTCCGGTGATGCTTTGGATGCTGTACTCATGAAGTTATCTCTGCTGAGAAAACATTTCCCCTTCAGTTTAGAGTCTGGGTCTTTGTTAAGTCTTCTGACATGGCATTATTTAATTTATTGGAGTAAAAATCTAACAAGCCTCGAACATTTTCGTGCTGCCATCGAATGTTTGAAACAATTTCGCACAACCGATTTGGCTTTAAAACATGGCACGGCTTGTATGCTATGGCAGGCGGCCATAAAATATCCACTACAAAGTACAGCAAAGCTAATACATAAAGTTGGTCGCCTGCCCAAGGATAAATTGTGTCAACAGGATATTGAAATGTCGGCCGCATGTGTACCGGAATTCTTAGAATTGTGTCTGGAATTTCTGGAACATTTAAACGAATCGTTAGAGCATCAATCATATGATTTGAAATTTGAGGTATCATTGGCTGAGGGTCAGACACCATTGCAATTTTTGGCGCTGCAGCAACATCATGCCATTAAGGAGCAACTGAAACTACACTATGAGCTGTGTACGGTATTACATTTCATTGCCTTTTTCCAGCTGCGAATATCCAAGCCGCTGCAATTGCTGTTCGATGCCATGAGCAATAAGGCATTCTTTGGTGATATCAATAAGGAATTGAATTTTGTTCTACCGCCAGCCGATATGGTTTTACAACAACATCGCACCGAATTTCTGTGTAAAGTTGTAACAGCCTCCATGGATTTGATAAGAGAAGATTTGGAACAGTTGTTTGTGGCCGAACATATTCAATATATGGAGAAGATATTCAAATTAGCTGATAGTTGGGGTCTAGATCGCAAAGCTTTAAGAAGGCGACAGGTATGTCTGCAATATATTATAGAATGATATAGATTATCCATCTCATATATTTCTTTTTTTGAAGATTGTTGATCTCTATGCCCACGGGTTTGATGCCAATGCAGAGTTATTACTCAATGACATTGCCGAAGATGAATTCATTGGTAGAATGTTACTTGAAATTGCTGGTCGTCGTCTACATTTATATTCCAATAAATCTCAAGGGACATTTTTACAAATTGCCTCGGTTGGCCAACAGCTGTTGAGTTATTTAGATAATCTTGTAAGTGTTGCCGCAGTGTATTATCCACAAAAATGAAAAAAAAGTATACAAAAATTGGTACGCAGAAACACTATTGCTATTTCTTCATCATCTATCTCACAAAATTCATTTATATTTCATCTTCAAAATTATAAACATTTTTATATGTGGCCCACATATCTCACAAATAACAGACGGCAAGAAAATGATTTAATTTTCCCTACTCACATTTTAATTATCTTTCAATTATTTCAATTTCTTACATAGAATGATACAAGTGGTGATTATGATTTACAAATTACCGCTTCGGAACCACATGACATACATCTGAATGCCTTAATTAAATTGGTACATACTGCCATGAAATATATACCGGGAAAGGAATCAGCATATTTACGTATTGGAGCACAAATGTACGATGCCTGTACTTTATTGCAAGAATAAAGTAAGATACAAATTAAAAAAAAGAAAAAAACATGAAAGAAATCTGTAGCCACCGTTAGACATTATCATATTTCAAAAAATTATTATTTAGTTTTGTTTATTATTTTTTTATTAAACATTTTGGTATTCATGATAAAATATTATTTATTAACATAGGTATGAACCTGTTAATATCCAATCTAAGCTTTAAAATTGTATTTTCAATATATAAAAAAACTTATTCACAAATATTAGTTATATTTGTTGCCTTTTTTCTTATTAATAGTTAATGATATTTATTGTTTTTTATTATTAAAGATATAATGAAGAGAAAAAATATATCTTCATATTTGTCGTGTGATATTATCCATTATTAATTATACATCTGGGTAAATATAATAATTCATTTTTTTGTTTTATTATTAGGTTTGTTAGATGACTTAATCATTTGTAAAATGTCGATCAAATCTTTAACAAATGACCTTTAAACAAAGTTTTAACAACTCTACCCTATGTAGGCGTCAGAACAAATAATATTTAAGAAATCCTCACATTAAAAATGGTGGAAAATATATTCTTTATAATCTGGAAAAGTAATTTTTTAATAATCCTCAACTTTAAAATTCTGGAAAAATATTCCTTTTTGTGAAAGTGCTGGTAAAAATACTTTGTTTATTATTATGTCTTGGAAAATTAATCTAGTAATACCCACTTTGAATGTTCTGGAAAAATAATCTTTATAGTATCCTCACGTTGAAAGTCTTGGAAAATAGTCCTCTCTTCAAAAGCCCAGGAAAAATAATCTTTAAAGGAACCTCAATTTTAGAATTCGGGAAAAGGATATCCTTATTTTAAAAATTCGGGGAAAAATAATTTCTATGAAAATACAATATTCCTTAAAAATTCACGCCTTGGAAAAGTATCCCTTAAAAATCCACACCTCGGAAAAATATTCCCTAAAAATCCACACTTCGGAAAATATTCCTTAAAAATCCACGCTTTGTAGTGGCTTGGAAAAGTATTCCTTAAAAATCCACAGCTCCGAAAAATATTCCTTAAAAATCCACGCTTTGTAGAGCCATAGAAAAGTAGGGGAGACTGGGGCACCTTCGCCACTTTTTTTTTTAGAGCTCAATATCTCAGTACTTATTCAACATATATAACAACTTTATGGCTGATTATTGTCCTCAGACACTTAATTATAAAAAATAGTACCAAAAAGATGTAAAAAAAATAGTATTAGTTAAAAAATTTTACAGTTTTGTAAAAAAAGTCAAATTCGCCGAATGTGCCCCAACCCGGGTAGCTTCGGTATTTGATGGGGCACATTCGGCAACATAGTCATAGCCGGGTAATTGTCATCGCTATCAGTCTGGTTGAAATTCTGATCCTCTAAAGGCTCTATTTGGTTTTAATACGCCACACAATGTTTGAATTATAGGACTTTATTTTCTAGCGGCGGACGTTTACATCTGAAGTTCGCACACATCATCAGAAATAGGGGTTTTCTATCGCATTTTCGTCAATACAAGCACGTTTGGTCTTATATATGCAATTTCGAGCCATATTAAAGGATTTGTTTTAAAGACAATAATAAATTTGCACAATCCGTATATGGCCGAATGTGCCCCACTTTAAAATGCCGAATGTACCCCGAATGTACTTTTTATAGTTTTTTTCATTTTTTTCGATCAGTTTTTAAAAACATTATATTTTTAAACATTTCTATAATAATACACATCGTAGTTAACCACTTTTTAATAATATTGTCTTAAAAATTTAAAAAGTTTTATACACGAAATACTTACGAAATGGAATTGAAATATTACAGAAACATCTATAAAAATATAAAAACCCATGTATCTAAATAAGTTTATTAGCTAGAAATTTCAAACTTTGTGTCAGTTATTTATTTCGATATTCGATACCTATGTATCGAAACTAGTGATGTACGGTGAGAGCTTCATATCGAAAACGCGATTGCCGAAGGTGCCCCAGTCTCCCCTATTCCTTAAAAATCCACAACTCTGAAAAATATTTCTTAAAAATCCGCGCCTTGGAAAATAATCCTTTAAAATCCAGGCTGTATAGTGCCTTGGAAATATATTTTTTAAAAATCCAGGTCTTATAGGTCATTGAAAAAATATTCCTTGAAAATTGACCCTTGAAAAATATATTCGTTTATTTTCACGCCTTGGATTTTTTTTTAATTCCAAGCATTTTAAAATTATTTCTTAAAAAATCAACTCTTTATAAGGATTGAAAAAATATTCCACGCATTATAACACCGACTTATAGGGCCCATGGTATAATAATAAAAGGTAACAGCAAGTGTTGTTGTACAAAAAACGATACAACAACCACATGGAAATTTGTTGTTGTAAGTTCTACTAGTGTCAACTCATTTGACAGAAAAATGTAAACAAACAAACAAATTATCTTCAAATTATTTTTATTTTGAAAATGAAATATTTTCGAATCCTCAAAATAAAAATTGGAAAACATGAATGAAAATCTATCAAATTTATATTTCTATCGCTTCCACATCTTTCCTTTAATTGAGCCATTGCCATATATATGTGTAACACATATGAAAATGCTAGGAATAGCGAGTTATTCCTTCAAGAAAGATTTGCTTCCTCAAACTTTCCCAGCAGGCAGATTGAGTAAATTGAATACGGGAGCACATTAATAAAGAACAATTTCAAATTGTATGCGTTCCCAATTTTCCTGTTGGGTGATTTTTAAAAACATAATTTGTCAAATTCATATTGACACTAGTATTACGTTGGAATCAAATCAGCTGGGATTTGCTGTTACCTTTTATAATTGTACCATGTATAGGGCCTTGGAAAATGTTTTGTTTTTAAAATCCAAACATTAAAGGACCTTGGAAAGCTATTCCTTAAAACTTCCAATCATGAAATGACTTTGGAATAAATCTAAACATTTAAGGACTTTGGATTTACTTAAACCCAAACTTTAAAGATTTTTTTATTTATTTATTTTTTTGTTCTCCAAAATTTAAAGGCTTTGAAAGTATTTTCTAAAAACAAACATTAAAGGATATTGGATTTTTTTGCTAAATCCTTAGCAACAAATTTAAATCCACGCCTCATAAGGCCTTGCCGCAATAAATAAAGAAAGAATAAAGGAATCCACGCCTATAGAGAAGATAGATTTTTGGGAAAATATATTTTTGAATCCACTCAATATAGATTCTTCGAAAAATTTATTTTTTAATACACGCCCAGGTGGCTTTAAATAATAACCTTTAATAAGGTCCACGTCTATATGTATATGTTTTTATCGAAGAGTTCATCATCTTTGGGGTCGTACCAGACTCCATTAGGGATTTAAAGTAGGTTTCGTAAAAATATTACAAGGTCCAATATTAAAATGTGCCCAGTTTGGACCATTATATTTATTTATTTATTTAAACAAACTTCGAAGGTACTTACCGAATTTCGGATGCGTAATCAGGACATCAACAGTTTTATATTGACACCCATATTGGTTCATAAAAAGCTGGTAAAAATACTAGGGTTCCATCGGATTTGTGTAGGTCCATATCACCGGAAGTAGGTATTATGAAATTATATCATAGTAATCAGGCCTGTTGGCCTTTAGCTGTGGTAAAAATTTCAAAATGACCCGTGAACGGGCCCAAAACTACACATTTTCCAACATCGTTCGCACCAGACGTAGGAACATTTGTAAATCGACTCAAAATTGTCTGAAATGAAAATTGGTCCAAAGAAACTTGGGACCTCAAACCTAATATTTCGATTATGAACATTTTTGCCTTTGCAAAAGAATACTTTTGATTAATTTAAATACGATTTTGTGTCTCGAATGTTAATATTTTTTTAAAATACTGAACATACATTTTGCATTGGCATCACATCGACCGCCATAATTAGTCCATGAGCGACCTACGTGTGCCTATTATTGTTGTTTGCAAAACAAAACATTGCATGCTGCTACCACTAGAGACGGGTAATTTAGTTCAATGAACGGATGGATTCGCATCATGTGTATATTCTATACTTAGCGTCTAGTTCGCCTGTTTAACGGAACACAATGAGTTCGATTAGTTCATTTCAGTGAATCGATAATTTGAACTAGTTCATAACAGAAACCAAGGCACATTGGACAGACACATAGATTTTTTGGTAAATAATTCGCAAAAAAAAAAACAGCAATTGGAGTCAATTGAAATTGAATATGGAACAGCGAAGAAATTTTCTAGATGCTGATACCAGCATTTTGGAAAATAATTTACGGTTTGTCAAGGTATGACCCGATTGTCATATTTTCGTTTTTTTTTTTCAAATTTGCAATTAATAAGGCATCCTTTGTTGTAGAGTGATTTGGAGGAGAATTTGAATCAATTTTTTGGTAGTACTACTGGTGGCACTAAAAATTTTCCAGTCTCACCAGCATCTAAAACGTCCACCGCACCACCACGTGAATATAAAGTTGTCCAACCAACACCAGGTAGGTAGTTTAATGACTATTCCTATTATTCAAATCCTTTTCAGAAAATTCTGGATATATGTCTGTATTTATTTATTTATTTATTTATAAAATATTACACTTATAGTAAATATAAGAATAATACAGAAGGTAAGAGCATTGGCTGCAAAGGCCATCAGCTAATACTTTAATATAAAGTAGTATGATATGAATTTATTTTTACTTAAATTATTACATTATTTCTTTTAATATAATCAAAAATGAGATTGATATTTTGAGTGTTTATGGTTTTGAGCATATTGTATCCATTGTTTTGTAGAAAAGTGCGTTGTTGTTGAGATAATAGACTACATGATTGCAGTATGTGTTTGACATCGACGATAGCGCCACATTTAGGACATTTGTTGTCAGTGTTCTTATTAATTAGGTGTTGATGAGTTAAAATTGTATGACCCATGCGTAGTCTGGAGAATATTTTAATTTTATTTTTTTCAGCGTTTGGAGGGTATAATGGAACCTCACTAAGTGGGTTTATAAAGCTGTAATGGTGATGTTGTCTGTATGTTTTTGACTGTTGCATAGAAACAAAGTCAATTTAAATGCTCGGCCTGCTAATTTTGACCAATTACGAACGAAAGTAGTGGCGTATGCCGATGATATTGTTGTTGTAGCAGCCCTATTGCTTTTACACAATGGGCTGAGGTGACAGACGTTGGCCGAGTAAGACTCGGGTCGTTTCGGATCGTAGACCCCTCTGTCGAGGAAACGCCGATGATATTGTAGTGCTGATTAGCGGATAATTCCTACCAGCAATATCAGACATTATGCAGGGTGGCCTAGTACGCTTGACAGGGTGGACGCGACAAAATAGTCTTGTAGTTAATATAGTATATAGTCTACAGACGGTTCACAGATGGAAGAAGGCGCAGGTGCGGCAGCTTTCTGTGAATAATTTTCAATTAATATCTCATACAAACTATATAATAAATCAAGCAGAGATTTTAGCAATCTTGAAAGTAGCGGAGTTAGTCTAGGACCTGAGAACTAGTTATCCGATGCCGGTTGTCAGGTTGTGGACCATAAACTCTAGTTTATGATTGTAAATTAACTCTGCGGGATATACGACATTTTGTTACATTTCCTGGTCATGATGACATTAAGAAAAATGGTGGATCGAAGTCAATCGATTTCAACAAGGTGACAGTTTGTCGTGTGTTTAGCATCCTGCTGGAAAAGGCCATTCGAGATGCAAATGTTAACCAAACTCGCCGACGACATCGTCTAATAGGTCGAACATTGCGAGCGGTAACAGCCACCTTAGAGCGAATTGAGAAGGAATCTGCCAAAGTGGGTCTGGCAGTTTAGCATCCTGCTGGAAAAGGTCATACGAGATGCAAATGTGAACAGAAATGACACTCTGTACACTAAACTCGCCAATGCCGACGACATCGTCATAATATCGTCTAATAGGTTGAACATTGCGAGCGGTAACAGCCACCTTAGAACGAATTGAGAAGGAATCTGCCAAAGTGGGTCTGGCAGTTTAGCATCCTGCTGGAAAAGGTCATACGAGATGCAAATGTGAACAGAAATGGCACACTGTACACTAAACTCGTCTATGCCGACGACATCGTCATAATAGGTCGAACATTGCGAGCGGTAACAGTCAACTTTGAACGAATTGTGAAGGGATCTGCCAAAGTGGGTCTTACAGTATATGGCGAGAAGACCAGACTGATGGTATCAACCGGCAAGACTTCAAGTATACTCGGACCAACTGTATACTCGGACCAACTTGAAAACTACAACTTCGAGGTAGTGAACGATTTTATATACATCGGTACAGCCATAAACAAAACTAATTTCATCAGCTTTGAAATCCTGAGAAGAATAGTGTTGGTCAACAGATGTTATTATGTTCTAAGTAAACAATTAAAGAGCAAAGCCACCACTTGCCAGATCAAACTCACACTCTACAAGACGCTGATACTATCCGTGCTATTGTATGGATCTGAAGCATAGGTACTTGCGCAAGCAGATGCGGCAGCTCTTGGGCCGATCTGCGTCGACGATGAATATCGCCGTCGAATGAATAATGCCATCCATGCCCAGCTCAAGAGGAAGTTGATGGTTCACTCAAAAGGGGAAGACCACGAATCCTATGAAAAGATCAAGTGAAAGACAACATCTCGGAACATGGTCTCTCAAATTGGATGAGCTGAGCACAAGATCGATTCGCCTGAAAGTCACAAGCCAGCTAAGTAAGCGAGGATGAAAAGAAACAAATATTATCGAACATCTACTTTGCCGATCCCCCATGCTTCGAGATAGAAACGCAAAACCTTTTCTCCAAAATAAATATAAAATATACCCCAAAATCATTTACAGCTTTGCTAGCTTACAGCTTTTCTTGATGATTAGATGATCACAATGGACAATATGTCTCCGAGTGGAGCAGTTACATATTAACAGCCGTACACCCTGTAACCTAACCGAAGGACTCGGATCAGGGATCATTTTGAAATTATTAACACATGGTTGGATTTTGCTACTATTTGGGAGGTTTTAGATCCTTATTATTATTATTATTATGAAAAATAAATTTCTAATGTTCAGTTTTTATTACGCGACTTTCTCCTGCGGACAGATGCCTAGGTTAAGGTATCGATTCTCATCAACCTGGGATCAAAGCTACAAGTGTTTCAAAGCATTTACTTACTCCAAATATGTATCTCAGCCGTTTCAAAATGATACCCATAATGTCATTTAAACACATAGGAAATATATTGGTTCGCGTATGGATTTCTTAGATAATCCGATTTTTTATTTATAAACCACATCCTTTTAAAAATATACTAATTTTTTATATTTCCCCTCTCTAGGATTCTGCATTAAGACCTTTAAGGTCAACACAAATGAGAAATATTTCATCAATGTGTGCCAGGCTGATGAGATACCACCACCCGAAGACATTTCCGAAGCCCAGCTTACTGAAATACTCAATTCGGATGAACCAAGCTCTTATCGTATACCCATGAGTATTTCTGAACCACGTGTCACCAAAGATAAGTCCGATAATCCTGTCGATGCTGTCGACTTTGCCATCAATCCGAAATTTTTTGCTAAAATTGAAAAATCCGTACTATTTCGTGATTTCTTTTTGGTTTTAATTGCCGAAGCACTCAACGATAAATATAATGTACAAATAAAAGTCGACAAGGCCATTATTTTAACAAAGAGGAAATTTATTGGTACATTGCTGTCACATCGTGTTCGCAATACGGATATAAAGACCGTATTCAATTCATATAAAAATCCCACAGATGATGATTTAAAAAAATTAAAAACTTTGGAAAATTCAAAAGCTTTAGTGCAGGAGATCGATGCCAATGAATTGAAGGCATTGAAAAAGAAGAGCGAAGAACTAAAACAAGAGCAATCGAATCGTATTAAACAGGAAATTGCCCAGGCGGCATCCATAACACCGGAATATAAGTTGCGGGCACGATTTAAAAATGAGGAAGTTGAAGAGGTGCAGGCTGAATTCTATTTACCTAAATGTGTAAGTTTTATATATTATGTAAATTTTTTTAGGTTTACTGCATTAAGGTAGTTGTTGAAAAAGGAATATGGTTAATGAAAAATGACTGATTAAAATCGTACCTTTACAACACCACTCCCTTTTGAAAGCCAAAAGATTTTATTTCCTAATTCATTTCTGTTACAATTAACCATAAATATAATCATTGCAGATTTCCTCCCAAGAATTGACTTTGGATATTGGCGAAGACCGTATTCTCTTGGAGTCCATGAAACATGGTTATCTTTTTGATAAGTTTGTAAATTATCGCCTGAATCAAGATCGAGCAAAAGCAATATTCGATAAAACAAATAAGGTATGAATACTAAATGAATGTGGTAGATATTTTGTGATGGTTTTCATTTACACTTGTTATATTTGTCTTTCTTTCAGATGCTACAAATTCGTATTCCTGTCATACAAGCCAATTAGATTTTAATGTTGTAATCGTTAAGAAATTTACTTTGAAATTAAATAAAAAACATATAAAAGCAAAAGGCACGAGAATTTAATTCAGATACCAATGGCAGTAAAATTTGTTTTTTAGATGACGGGGCTGCCATCTAACGTTGCCTATGAACCACGTCTCCTTAAATGATGTACAATGGTTGGAATCCTTGATTAGTTTAATGTGTCGTCGCCATTTTGCTATGGGTGGTGCTAAATTATTTACTTAGTTAACTGGTTTGTGACAGAACATTTGCTCCATAAACCGAGTTTAAAGAAAAAAATGCTAGACCCGTCGGTCTTGTGTGCAGTTCTTCCAGTTTGAAAGACCATGTTCCTAGATGTTGTCTTCCACTTGATCATTCCTTACGTGAACGATCAGTTGGATCGTTTTTATATGAGCTTTGAGCTGGGGCATCCTCACCCATTCTCACAATATGAGAATGGATCAGGATGACACAAGGTCAGCAAATTCATCCTCATTTACTTAGCTTGCTTATGACAGAACATTTGTTCCATAAGGCGTCCTTGGAAAAGATTTTCAGGCACGTCGGTCTTGTGCGCAGCTCTTCCAATTTGAAAGACCATGTTCTGGGATGTTGTCTTCCACTTGATCTTTCCATCGAAGTCGTGGGCTTCCCCATCAGTTTGCTCGCTTTTATATGCCTTTTGAGGTCGGGCATCCTCATCCAATCTCACAACATGACCTAGCCACCGTAGTCGCTGCAGCTCGATATGTCTGACTATGTCGATGAGAGAGATGAGAAACTTACAAACCAAATCGCGAAGATTTCAGCATGGAAAACACTACAATTGCTATCCAGCTTGTGGGTTAACTCAAGGCCTAGCCTTTCACAGTAGACGCCAGCCCCAGTACCTTCTTCCATCTTGTATCCGTCTGTATAGAAAGCCAGACTGTCCAGATGAGGGTTACTCCGGTTCCAATCGTCTCTACTATGTATAACGACATCTATATAGTCACATCTCAGGACTGGTGATATATAGTCGCTTAGTTTTACACGTTGGTGCAATGTCTTACCTAATTCCTTCAGAATACATCCATGCCCAAAGGTACAACTTCGCCAAAGGTTTTGTTCATGCAACCTTAGGGCACTACGTGCGGCCTGACAATGCTGAGGCCCAGGCCTAAAGTACAGCATTGCGTTCAGAGCTGCTTGTGGCGTGCTTCTCATGGCTCCTATTATTAAAATCGAGGCGGCTTTTTGTACCTTATCTAATTTGCTGGATGTCGACTTGTGGCGCAGGAAGTTGCACCAAACAAGAGAACCATAAGAAAGCATGGGCCTTAGCACGGTGTTATACAACCAGTGTATAGTCAATGGTTTTTGCCTCCAACTTTCCCCAATGGAATTCTTGCATGCATAGAGTGCAATCAGCCCTCTCTTCTCCCGTTCCTATTTCATCGTAATTGACTGTCTAGGATTGTGCGAAGGTACTTTGCTTCGGGTGATACGATGAAGTTGCATTCAATCCAGTGTTGGTGGAGCAAAAACGCCGAGCTTACGCTTCCTAGTGAACATTACCAGTTCCGTCTTTGTTGGATTTACACCAAGGCCGTAACAGGATTTTCAATATCAACACGTCGTCCACATAAGCTACGACTTTGATACCTTCCCCATCCAGTTCCATTAGAATGTTGTTAATTAGCCATTCACTTCAATTAAATGTTGAAAGTAGAGTTGAACCTACTTGTTTTAGGAAATACCCAATACCCCGGGTTCATGCTGATGTCAATTATACCATGAATCTCCAGAAATCAAGACTTCAAGCTAATTAAAAACGTCTAGAGAACATAAAAAAACAATGATAACAAAAAACATTAAGTATCGAATCGGACAAACCAAACGGTGTCTTATCAACGTTCAGCAGTAGCAAATCTCAAAAATGCAATTCATTCCAATTTTATTTGTTTTATTCTTCAAGGCAAATTTGTTTACAATCTTCATGTTTGTATGTAATTCTAAAAGTACTGTAGTATATAATAAATTTTTTATGAAACTCAGTTTCATTATGTAATAAATTTCATTGTTGTCTTTGTTTGTTTATAAACAAATCACTCCGCACTGCAAATTAAGCACCCAATTGTTCGTACAACTTGGGTACATAATCATCCCATTCAGCCTGATAGAAATTACCGGCAACAGGGTTACCCAACTTGTATTTCTCAGCAAACGAGGCAATCTTGAAGCAGCCACGGTTATCTCCACTATTGTTGGGCAAACGTTTCTCATCGAATGTCAGCTTGCCCTCCTGTTTGTAGACCAAGAAAATGTAACGATGCAAACCGGTACCTTGTGGTGGTCCGGAACCAATGTAGGCTGATAGCACTTCACCGGCACTAATGTCACTGCCGGGTACATTGCCCACCAACCAATGATGCCATTCACGATATGTGGCCTCTTTGCGGCTGGGTGCATCCGGGTCGGTCATGCACACAGTGTAGAATGCATTTGGATCGGCATTCCAGCTAAGTTTGGGTTGATCTTTCACCTGGGTTGGTGTTAGAACATTACCTTCCTTAACCTCTACACCGCTGTCATATTTGACGCTCAACAACTCGCTGGGTGCCACACTTATGACATCGGGTACAACTTGATGTTCTTCGAAACTTTTCAGCGACATTTTCTTTTTGCCAAAAAATGACCTTTTTACTACTGCACTTGTCGAGGATAGATATGCCGGTGCGACCGAAGTATTTGTTTTAGAATTCAAGTTTTTGACAGCTTCTGATAGCAAAGCGAAATTTCTCGATTTCAATAATTGTTCTTGTTGAAGAACCAACAAGCTGCGGGGCAGTTGACGTGCGGAACGAGCAAAGCGCAAACAATTTATGAACATTTTTGCGAATAGACTACCGCTGGTCGGTCGCCGGCAGATTGCAAGGGTTTGCATGCACACAGAGTTGACATACTGTATATATTGCTCATTTAGTTTAGGGTATACTAGTTCGAATTGTAGTCTATTGGCATAAGACGCCCAATTTACAGTTATTTACGAATTGTGCAAATTAGCAAACATAAACATGATTAGTTTATATGTGTATTACGATGAGATCAGGGGGGTTACTCTGTATTGCGTTGCGAAAGCTAAATGCGTTAAGAGTACAATTTGGTACTCTATAACGTTCACGCAAACGCATTCGCAAACTAAATTGAAAATAGGGCAACACTGTCGCCACAAAGTAAACAATAACGAAGAATGACAAAAGGAAACGTCAAAAATTGTAAATGAAAACATATTTTTGGGTGGTACGAGTGTTTTTTTAAACAAAAATGATGAACGAATTAAAAAAAAGAATTTTATGAGATCTATCAAATATACTCTCCCTAAGTGCGAATTATGTGACAAATGTTTTCAAATATTTAATTTTTATAGATTTATATAAAATGTCTCAATAAAGATTCGTTTATGTATTTTTTAAACGCTCGTCGTTTCAAATAGATCCACAACAATTCCAACTCCAATAAAAGAGGCCGCTGCTTTGAAATTGCTTGGACAATGTGGTTATCAACATCAACCTATAAATATGCACACATAGTTTCACATTTTATATAAAAAAATAATATATTACTTTTTCCAACCACCGACATCTTTTACAGGAGGTCAATTTGAATTGAGGTCATCAGACAGTTTTGTCCACAAATTGTTGGCGCGTTGTTTCGCATTTGAACTCTGCAACTGTCCCTTTGCCAAATCACTGTGTTGCCCCATAAAATCTACTGAAGTTAGGAACAGACGTTGCTGAGGCTGTAACTGTGACTTTTTTGCCTTTTACTTAAAATAATTTACAATTTTTATATAAATAAAACCTTTAATGGAGCTTACTTATACGTTTCGCTTCCTTTGCGTTTGCTATTTTGTTAACGCAAGATATTTGCGCTTAACGAACGAGTTTGACATGCGTTTTCGTATTACAGAGTGCGGTGATGCTACATTTGCGTAAAGTAGATGCGAAAGGAGATACGAAAACGAATTAGAGAGTACCAATTACGCGATGCGTTACAATTTTTCTCACGCATCGCAATACAGAGTAGCCCCCCAGATCGCCTGTTAAATAAACCGCCAAATATATCAACATAAATAAATTTTATTGTGTGAAAAAAAACAAATAATTTTCTATTTTGTGAAATGTTACTATTTGTGTCTTAAATTTATTGGTTCCAAATGCATTTTAAAATAAAACAAAGAAGCAAATTAATTTTTAAAATTGAGAAATGGATTTCTAAAGTTCGGTAAGTTTTTATTTAAAAGGAGGTTCTACGTTACAGTTGTTAATTGTTGTCCATAGACTAGCCCAATGACTGCCACCCACAGAAAACGGTGATTTTGAAGTTGTTGAAGTTTCCACAGGAAAAAATTGAAAAGGAAAACCTGTAGGAAAAGTTCAAAAGTAGGATGGGACCAACTATATGATACCCTTCACCGCTTCCGATACGATATGGAAAACTAAATTGACCCAATTTTTGCTTGGCCAAAACTGAAGCAACTTTTTGATTTTTTCATATATTTAAATAATCAAATTTTGCTAGTAATCGACCGCGATTTTTGATTACGGCAGCAAATCAACGAAGCATTGAATCATTAAAGTGCTCAATTTGATCCTTGATTACACCACTCCTCGCATCCTGAACCTTTGAGAAGAGGTTGTGTCATGATGTTTGCAAAATTCTTGTTTATTTTACTTTCGATAATACTAGAACAATTTTTCTATAGGGTGAAGATCTGATAATTGTGCTCGGTATTATAAAATCCATATTTAGCTGACTCCCGCAACCAATATGTTTGTGTTTGTTTGGAGGTTATTATCAAGCTGAAACACCCAAACAAGCGGTATATTTTCTTCTGTGTTTTCCAATACATTTGTATACACAAACCGATTCATCACTCCATAAAGCTCGTGAATAGATCGAACGCAAAGAAAATGTAACCAGCCCAATGCCATTATTGAACCGCCTCCATGCTTTCCAGTACCCTTGCCTTTCATTTTTAGGCCTTCTCACCGCAAATTTGTTCGCGTCAGAGTTTAAAATATCAAACTTTATTTCATCCACTGAGTCGGATTTCATTTGATATTTTGCGAAAACCAATATGGTTTCCCAATTCTTTTCAGAAAATAAATGGCTTTTTTAACAGTTTTCGGACATGCGGATTTGCTACCATAGCTCGCACACGCTCTGTTCTTGGTGTTATATCCACCGACAACCCTCTCAGCAATTCCGCTGAATGGATATTTTTTTATTGCTATGACAATTTCTTGTATTTCTTCTACATGAATTCGATATTAGATTTTCCAATAATTGTGTTAAAATTGATGTTTTTATGGCGCTGAATAAGCTTAAGTCTAAATCTATTGGTGTAGACGAAATACCTGTAGATGTCAGACTTATTTTCCCCTATGTTGGTGATTATATTTTCGATTTGACTAATTCCATACTAACGTCTTCTGTGCATTCCATCATCATGGAAAAAATTCGAGTTATTCCTATACCTAAATGTCAAATTGTTAATAATCCTGATGATCTTAGGCCAATCTCCATTCTACAGGTTTTGTCTGACGTTTTGGAGCAGATCATGAAGATCCAAATATATATCGTTGATATATTGTTTTAACCCCATGTATCTTTGAACCAACTCCGTTTTAGATAATTTAGAGTCGATTTACAAATGTCCGTCCGTCTGGTTGGCGCGCAAGAAAACTTTTAAAGGGAGTAACTTTGCACATTGTAATATTCCTTCCAAACTTAGTTTAAGAATATCGGTCTGATTTTTAGAACGAATGCAATTTACGGACACCTCTCATATCATTTTGAAATTGGAACCCCATATCTCGGGAAGTACTGATTTCCCCCCTAGAAAATTTATGTTGTTGTAATTAGTATCAGATGGACTACATTTGGTATAAACTTCAAAATGATCTGAGAGGTGTCCGTAAAATGGATTTCTTATAATATCATGCGGAGCAATTTATACTAAACCTTAGACAACCTAATATATTTACCAGGCCTAGATCAATCACCATGGGCCAACATTTCCAATATTTATAAATCTAATATTAAGTAAGTGGAATGTTCGATGGTCCAAACTTTGTAATTCGTAATACTTTTTCCAAACCTTGATCATGTCCCAAGATGGGGCCCATCAGTTCACTCCTACTTGTATATCCCCAACAAATATTCTAACAACCTCTTCTGGTACCTGTCCACATATGATCAACTATTGATACAAACATAAACCTTTTATTAAGCTAGTAATAAAACCAGTGTGTAGTAATTTCGTAGACCTCCACAAAACATAGACATAGGCACACAGTGACCACAGTGACCTAAGACCAATTTTCTTCAGATTCACTTTCCAAAGGTACTAAATTTGGTACATTTTGTATGCATTTAAGGATCACATAACAAGTTTGAAAACTTTAGCTCTATTCCTATACATGTTGTAGGTGACTTAGTTCATACTTCCATCTACTACTCGACTCTACGCTCCATCAGGAACCATATAACCACAGCTCTGGGTCTATTTAGGTTCTTCCAAAATTTACTTGACTGTAGGTAGTTCCCCAAAAATAATTTTAAATTCTCTAATGATAATTACAATTCAATTTATTTAGAAATCTAGAAAATTCATTATAAAAAATTTTTGCGTATAATTAACAATAAAATTATAATATAGCTTTTATTTGATTTTTAGGATTTAAAACTTCTGCTATACTCTTTGACATAGAGTAGACAGCTTGGGTGTTTTTGTTGTAGACATTTCGTTTCATTCTTCTTGTGTATAACCTTTGATAAATATTGTCGGATAAATTCCTTCAGAACATCTATTAGGTGTATTTAAAGGTTTAGATCAGGGGACTCCGGATAGTTCGATTTTTGTTTGAAATTTGCTTTATTAAATATTCAGATACACATATTCAACCAAAGAAGACTCGATGACCTCCAATTGTTCCCTAAACCAAAATTATGCTTGCCGCCATTTTAATTCAGCAGGCACTCTTAGTTTTGTTCCGTCACAACTCGAATATAAAGTACTCCTTATAGCTAAAAGTATTATCAAATGAATCTTTATTTTGGTAACTTTACAAGGCCTTACCATTTCTCCAATAGGATCGGTGAAACCCTCATAGTGTTTGCTACTCAGTCCACTAATCGAGGATGAGGGCAAGGGCAGCAGCCTTACAATTGTGCAACTTTATCTGCACAATGTTCAGTGTTTGCTGTTTCTTACCATGCTGTTCTCAGAGGGTAGGCGAAAGTGTATTGTCCCCAATCCGTAGCACACATTACCTTTACACTTCCTCAAGAATTCTTCACCAGCTTTGTCAGTGACAAACTTGGCGACAAGACCTCCATTATTTGTGAAAGTGTAAAGAAGTCTCCATTGCCGCATACGAAGGCCACAGTTCTGTTTCTCTATCAACCTCATTGATTTTTCTAGACCCATAATGGGTGGTGGAATCCACACTGAAGTGACCGTTCCACCTGGTATCTCGTTAATCGATACGGCAGCCAACTGACAATCTTCCCAAAGAGGCTCAATTTCATTAATAGTCTTCTTAAGGTATTCAGCAGATTCCTTATTGCGACAAATAATGACCCTGACCCCTTTGTAAAAGATGATCTTGTCAAAGCGGAGATTTTGACGATCAACTTCATCGCTGAGGAAGAGGTCCTTCAGATGCCCGTCCACTGACAACCAGTGAACATCACTGATGCGCCCATCGGGATCAGCTCTATCAATAATTGCCACTTTTTGGTCATCTGGAACCCTCTGCTGTGTAGCTGAGTCGATCTGCTTCGATCCTGACTTGAACACTTGCGACGAGTTCAAAGATGATTGGACTTCCGTCCTCTCTTTGTCACTTGTCATTGCAGAAGGTTCATTCGTTACAACCGAAACATAAGAGACAGTTTGATGCGTTACAAGCGACCGCACTGACCTGTTCGTAACTGGCTGTTCCTCCTTCTCCGAGGACATCTTCCTTTTTACAGCCATTGAATGTGTTTTAAGATCAGTCCCCAGAGAGGCGGATGCCTTTGGAGTCGGTAATGTTGTCGCGAGCCCAGTCTGCCCTGAGTTCGACACTTTCCTTGGCGACTCTGAATTGTGCAACAATTGTTCCACTTTCACATTAGTTCGCGGTAAAACAACTGAAGGCTTGTCCAAAGTCGTTGGTTTGGCAGAAGAAAATTGCTGCGTCGTGGTCGTCTTTCCAGAAGCCTTTTTACGGGCCCTCCGTCTTGACGATCTGGACAAGACCTTTCCATCGTCCTTGGCATTGGATGATGTTGCTGGCAATGATCCCTTGTCGTTCATAGATCCCTCCGAAGATTCTGGCTGCGCAGAGGTTTTTGGCGTAATTTGCTCACTCGTAACCGGACTAGCTTTTGGTAAGTCTAGATTTTGTTTGGAATTTGATGTTGGTTTAGGAAAAAGAATTCTGTCGATGGGAATATCACGCTTAGGCAAGTCAGGATACATACTTTCGAATTTCCTACGAAACCTAAGGTGTTTTTTTATAAGATGTATTTCCCGTTCCGTGTGCAGATTTGGATCCTTATCGACGAATCTTGAAAGATATGCGATAGACCTTTTATAAAATTTTTTATCCCTATCTATCTTATGCGACAACGAAGAGGAAGAAGAAGAACCGTTCACTATTTTCCCATCATCAGCTTTAATTTCAGTGTCGTCCTGTTTATCGTCTGAGAGTATCATGGCATTATCTTCTTCGGCGGAACCATTATCTGGACTGTTTGGTGTTGATGCTTTTTTATCCAAAGGATTATAGGGGGTATCTGTATCATTTCCTTCAACCTCATCATCATCAACATTGTGGATAATCTCTTTATTGAACCTCTCATATTCCTCACTGATATAAGTGGTGGTTGTACATGAGATATAACCGATATTATTTAGCCTTTCATCAATGTCTTGTTTGATAGGGAAATGAGTCGGTCTGTCTATGCTATGATTTGAATATTTCCAATGTGGAGATGTTTCTGATCTAGATTGCGTTATCACTCCATTGTGTTTATCCAGATCTTGGCTTTCTGTTGACAAGGAATTGGAATTGGGTGTAGTATCGGTATTAGTAAAATACTTCCAATGTTGTCCTTTATCTGTGGTAAATGGCAATGAACTCAAAATTCTATTTTTCAATTTTGAATATTTAATTACCTGGATAATTGTTGTAATTATTGATTATTGGTGGTGGTGGAGGAGGAGTAGTAGATTTTGACAGATCTACTGGCTCCACACAATGAACTGAAGTGAATCTCGTCGTTGGACAAGTGAGACTCGGGTCGTATTGGTTAGTAGGAACCTCTGTCGTGGAAACTTGAGAAGGAGCATGAGGCGATGTCTGTCGATTGCCGGCAATCTTCGAAAAATACTGATTGAGATTTTGTTCCAAACTGCTCTAAACAGAAAATCACATTTTCTACAAAATTAAATTCTTTCTAATAATAATTTTTGAATGGACTTACTCTGGAAAATTGGAAATTTCTTTCCGATACATTCCGGGTAAAATTTCGACGGTCATTCATTTCTTTTAATAAAATGTGGATTTATATTTCCTAAATTGTAGTGGAAACCCTCTAATATTTTGTGAGTAGTCCGCTGAAAAATATGCCCCAAAGGATACGATTAAGAAGAAAGAAAACCCTGTTTTGTTTACGAATTAGTGTGTAATGCACAATGCAAAAACCAGCTGATAACAGCAGGGATATATCGGTCGATGTACCATGGAATCATGGCACAATAAATAAAACTACAGCTTCGAGGTAGTCAAAGATTTTATATACCTCGGTACAGCCATAAACAAAAATATCAACATCATCTTTGAAGTTCAGGGGAGAATAGCAATTCAAAAGCAAGGCTACCTCTCGACAGAACAAACTCACACTCTACAAGACGCTAATATTACCCGTGCTTTTGTATGGATCTGAAACATGGGTACATGCGCAAACAGATGAAACAGCTCTTGGAGTGTTTGGGAGAAAAATTCTCCGGAAGATCTATGGGCAGATCTGCGTCGATGGTGAATATCGCCGTCGAATGAACCATAGCTCATGGTCATCTATTCTCGGACATAGATATTGGCACACGGATCGAGCTGCATCGACTACGTTGGATATGCCATCTTGTGAGAAAGTCAAAAAGTTACTTTGACAGTTCTACGCAGAGAACTTACTGAATGTTAATGGGTAGATCTCTTCCAGTAAGATTCAAACTGCACAGTTCGATGTATTTTTTAAGCCTATACCTTTCTGAAGAAACAAAATACCTTGGTACAATCCTTGACCGCAAATTAACGCGGAATAGGAATGGCGAGGAACGCTCTATGAACGGATTGATAGTACTCTACTTTTGCAAGAACTCCATAGGAAAGAACTGGGGACTAAGACCAGACATCCTACACTGGCTGCTATACGTGACGATCGTTCTCCCCATTCTTACATATGGTTGCTTTGTATGGTGGCCGGGGGTCAACAAAAAGATACTGCTGACAAAATTAAATTCAGTACAGCGATCTTAGCGATCCTGACTACCGGAGCGCTAAGAAGTACACCAGGGCCAGCGTTGAATGCGATCTTGAATCTCCAACCACTGGACATTCTGATTAAATTCCAGGCTGCCAGATGCGCCCTGAGGCTCCGAGAAACGGATGCCTGGAAATAGCTGAACTATGGTCACGCTAGTATCCTCAACATAACGCCAGGTTGTGATTTCTTGGGGGAGAAATACTCACATTAGTGACTATGTTCCATAACATAGAGACTTTAATGATATCAGAGTAGAGGTTCCTAGTAGGGAATCCTGGACTAGTGGCTCCTTACCTCTGTCACGTCTGTCATTTTTCACAGACGGGTCAAAGATGGAGGAAGACACAGGTGCAGGCGTTTACTGTAGGGAATTAGAAATATACAACTCAAGCAGAAATCCTTGAAATCACGAAAACGTCCGAGATAGTCAAAACACTTACTGCCGATAATACGGTGAATATATATGTCGATAGTCCGGCGGCCCACAAGGCTTTGAAGTCGTGCACTATAAACTCAAAATCAGTTCTTCATTACAAGTCCGCTCTGCATGATATAGTTAAATTATGTTAGGTTACAGGACATAGCAACATAGAAGGGAACGATATAGCGGACAAGCTTGTTCGAGGGGGATCACAGTCTTCCGATTGAGAGACCCATTGGCAAAATCCGCTTGTTCTACGGCGATGGTAGTCGGTAACAGATGATCGAGAGAACATGGTTGCAGAATCTCAAAAGCTATCGGGCCTTTTGCCGAAGAACTTCTTCGCTGTTGTCACATAATAAGAGAGAGAGAGATCAAATTTATTGTTGGGATCATAACAGGTCACTGCAGGATTAGATCTATCACTTCGTAATGGGACTCCAGCGGAGAGGATTACTGTCGTCTATGTGAGGACGAAGAAGTGTTAGAAACAATTGAACATGGCCTCTGTAGATGTCCATCATTGAGAGGCAGAACACTCAAACAGTTTGAAAGATATGAAATTGATGATCTAGCTTTCTTCTCTAAAATAGACCCCAACCAGATCCTAGGCTTTGTGAAAAATCTGGCATGCCTAAAATAACCATAATCTCTTTTCCCTTCTATTTTCTTCTCTCTTCTTTTCCCGTTTTTTTTCAGGTGCCAAGGATGATCACAATGGACAATAGTCTCCGGGAGGACAATATTCAACCGTATATCCCTAACCTAAACCACAGCTATAATATTCTACCAATCGAAATTGCTTTCGATTTGTCTTTGAGTACTGGAATAGTCCGTTTGAAATATTAAAGAAATTCCGATTGTCGTTAATTCCATTTGATGTCATTTGACTTTCCATTTTTTGGTATTTTCATTTGAAAATTTTATCAAAATACAAATTGAATAAGAAATGCAAGCTGCCAAAATAATACGAATTCGCGAGCATTCCAAAAATAATCAGAATGAGAGTAATTCAGACAATGTGGTTATATCTCAGGATGTTGAACAACCACCTTCATCAGCAATGCAAGAAAGTTACGATGAACCGACAACTTCTCAACATAAAATCGAACCCATTGATTTCCTGAACAAAGCTCAGGCCCTGCGTAATAGTCTGCAAAAAGATTTAATGGGATGTGATGCGAAATGGACATTGTTTGTGGCCACCGCATTTAGTTATCGCAATAGGTACAAACTTAAACCCTTTCCGCCAAGATTTGGCCATGCCAGCGATCATCAAAATATTGATGCTTTAATTTCTGTTATCAATGATACACCCAAACTGAATATTGTTCTGCATAATCTAATCGGAAGATATTTTGATAATGTGGATCCTGAGGTAATAGAGCTACTCTATTGGATTTTGATTGAACAAATGGAACCTCGTTTGCGGTTGGTTAATTTTGAAGAAATCAAAGATACCTTGCAAAATGTAGATATGCCGCAAAAGCCAACACAGATCTTCGAAGTTATGGCATCAGAAGGATTTCATGCGGATGTTGATTTTCAGAAGAAAATTTCCAATTCGCCAACAAAGCTGGGATTTTATGGTTCAACATTGGATTCATATTATTCAATAATTTATAATGGATTTTCAGATGTGACCGATACAGGAGCCATAAATATTTCCCTAAATCTTGAGAGTTGTTTACAACAAAATCCATGTGGTGCCGCCTGGGGAGCTTCGCAGTGTGGTTCATTAATATCTTGTGTGGCTGTGTGTGAATTTGCTGGGGGTAAATCGACATCAACTGGAGAGGATCATCAGTCCTATTTGGAAGTGGATCCTCATGCAATAAGAATGCGTTATTTATTATTCTATGGCAGCCGTTATCCTTTGGATAATAAACCCGAACCTCTGGGCTGGAAGGCATGGTTCTTACATCACAAACGTGGTATATTATTTAGCACATATATGCTGGTCATAACCACCATTGCTGTGGTAAATAGTGGTGACCGAGGCGAATATATAAAAAAATTAATAACTAAAAAATTTCAAAATTTTTTAGAATTTTGTCGGAATTTTTTTGTTTCGATTAGATAAATAATTTTTCATATATTTTCTTAATTTGAATACTGTTTGTAAAAAATAAATTAATTAAAAAATGGACACAAAATACTAATTACTACTTAGCTGGCTTGTGACAGAACTTTCGTTACATAAGCCGAGCATAAATAGATTTCCAGGCGCGTCGATCTTTTGCGCAGTTTTTCCAATTTGAAAGACCATATTCGGCAATGTTGTCTTTCACTTGGTCTTTCCATCTTATTCGTGGCCTTTCCCTTCGCTTTTATATGCGTTCTGGGTTGGGGCATCTTCATCCATTCTCACAACATGACCTAGCCAACGTAGTCGCTGCAGCTCAATACGTCTAACAATGTCGATGTCCGAGAATTGCTGTTACAACTCATGAATTGCTAGTACAACCGTCAACGCAGATCGACCCATAGATATTTCGAAGAATTTTTCTCAAACACTCCAAGAGCTGCCTCATCTGCTTGTGCAAGTACCTATGCTTCAGATCCATATAACAGAACGGGTATTATCAGCGTCTTGTAGAGTGTGAGTTTGGTCTGGCGGGAGGTGGCCTTGCTTTTGAGTTGTTTGCTCAGACCATAGTAGCATCTGTTGGTCATCACTATCCTTCTCCGTCATCGTCGTAGGCGAGTAACATGTGTTGTTTGGTAGCATTACGACACTCCTGATCGTACCACGGATTTCTTGATGGTGGTCTTTGGTACCCAAGTGTTGCTTTTGCTGCAGTTTGTAGGGAGTGGGCAATTCTCTGCCCTATATTATTATCGGGACAAGGGGTGCTCTCGTAAAGCAGTTGGGTAAGTTGAGCGGAATAGGCTTCTGCTATCTGTTGTGTTTGCAGCTTTTCGATGTCAAATTTCTGTGTTACATTAGATCGCACCTTTACTGCTACATTAAGACGGGAGCGTACATTGCCTGCCACAAGGTAATGTTCCGAATCGATATTCGCTCCCCGGATCGATCGGACGTCTAAAACACTGGATGAATGCCTTCCGTCTATCACAACATGATCGATTTGATTTCTCGTTGTTCGATCGGGAGAAATCCAAGTGGCTTTTGTATATCGAGATGCTTGAATCTGGTGTTGCTAGCTACCACGTTTTTTGCTGCCGCGAAGTCAATCAACCTCATGCCGTTGTCTGATGTTTCTTCATGGAGACTGAATTTTCCGATGGTGGGGCCAAAGATATTTTCCCTTCCGATTTTTGCATTAAAATCTCCTAGTAGAATTTTAATGTCATGGCCAGGGTGCCGGTCATATGCTGTTTCTAGGCGCTCGTAAAATATATTTTTTTGGTCTCTTCATCTTTATCTTCGGTCGGAGCATGGGCGCAAATGGGACTGAACGTAGACGTAGAAGAACTTCGCTTTTATACGGATTATAGCAATTCGCTCATCTACTGGAGTGAATCTGGTGACGAGGTCTTTTTTCTCCTGTTAACCATAAATCCGCACCCATATTCATGTCTCGTTTCATGGCAGCTATAATACAGGGCGTAATCATCTGATTTACTTACGCCAGTCTCTTTCCATCGCATTTCCTGTACTTTGTACTTCTTGAGTACATCCGCCAAAGCGAACACTGCGCCTGTTTTGCACATTCCACTCGTGCGCACATTCCAGGTACAGATTCGCAGATCGTGGTATTTTATACGTTTACGGGTGTCGTTAACATTAGGTGGGTTTGGTTTTCCACAAAAATCCACTCCTTGGTTAGGCCTTGAAAAATATTCTTTAAAAAATCCACACCTAAGGTATGTCCTTGGAATTTTTTTTTTAATTCATGCCTTATGAGATCTATATATATCTATATCTGGAAAAGTATTTTTTTTAAATATTAGAAAAATTAAAAATTTGTTTTTTGTTTTAGTAGCTTTTTATTGTAAATTTGTCTTACAAAAAATAGATATATATTTTCTATTTAAGAATTTGTTAATAACACGCTAGTTTTTTTCTTTCTTATTAATATATTTTTTATTTTTAACAATAATAATTATTTGTTTTTTGTTTTATGTTTCGTATAATAATAATAAAAGTATTTAAATTGCATTATTCACAATTGTTAGTTTGTGTTTTTTTTTTAAATGATTTTTTTTATAATTTTTTGAAAAGGGGTTCCGAACACCAATCGTGTTAGTATATAAAAAAGAAATACATTTTTACTAAAATTTAGAGCTCTATGAACACAGAGGCATTTTTGTTAATTGGTATTTTTGTTTGCATTGCAATAATTTTTTTGTTTTTAAAATAAGGGAAATTTAAAGGGGAACCATTTTTTATTTGTTTGTCTTATATTTAAAAAAAATGTTTTTTTTTTTTAATTTTTTTTCCAGTTTGTGTGTGTGAATGTTAATTTACAATTTTACGAAAAAATAAATTCTTAGAATATATATATATATATATATATATATAGTTTTTAGTTATACAGGCCATTCATTAAGTTGCTTTACATATAAATTGTGTGTGTGTGTTATTTATATATAATAAAAATTAAGTATTTATTTTCTTATTCCTTTTTGCAAAGTAAATCAATGTTTTTTGTTTGTTTTCAAATTAATTAAATTCTGACTATAGAGATATTTGTTGTTTTATTATTACAGTACATTATTAGAATAGTTTGTTTTGAATTTTTAGTATTTAAAAAAAACACAATTTTTATACAGTTAACCATGGGTCCACCAGACTGATGTCCAATATTGACCAAATATAGCTCAATTATGTTATTTAATTAATAATTATAATAATAATAGAAATTGTGAAATTTGAATTCTCTAATAATTATTTTTGTTAAAAATAGAGGGCTAATAATTATTTATCTTCCCCCCATTGGAGAGCTATGAGGTCAAATCAAAAATATTCGTAATTTTATTTAAAAAAATTCGCAAAATAGACTAACTTCAGTCGGTTGTGCAAAATTTTCCGCCAGTCGAACGAATTTTGGGTCCTTGGTGTACAATTTATATAAAATCGGATGAAAATATAGATGGGAGCTATATGAAAATCTTAACCGATTTCAATAAAATTTGACACACCTTTGGCTAGACAAAATTCAGTATGTTGTGCTAAATTTTGTACCAATCGACCGATCTTTGAATCTTTGGGGCACCATTTACGAAAATCGGACAAAAATATACATGGAAGCTATATGCAAAACTTAACCGATTTCTATAAAACTTAAAACACCTTTGGCTAGACAAAATTCAGTACGTTGTGCAAAATTTTGCGCCAATCGACCGAATTTTGGTGCGTCATTTACTTAAAATCGGATGAAAATATAGATGGAAGTCATATCTATATCCCATCCGATTTCAACAAAATACGATATGCAAAATTTCGTCTCAATCGTAATTATGGGTGTATTAGGTATTGTAGCCCTTAGACCCAGATTTAACTGTATCTCCTCTGTTTTTTATTATTGAATTATAAAATTTCTAAATTTCATAACTTAAAACCCTAATAGTATTAAAAATTAAAAACCTGTTTTTTCTTTTTTTTTTGTTTTTGGTGGGGAAAGAAATTTTTGATCTGAGGCGAAAAAAATACTTTAAAATTTTTAATCACGAAAAAAAAATCACAAATATTTCAAAAATTTTTTTTATTACAAATTTTCTTGTTATTGCATTTTTTTGGATATCCCTCGACGTCAGTCTCTCCAGGGATATTGAGGTAGTATTGACAAAACGTTTTAAGCTAGATTGTTGTTGTTATTATTTCCATTTTTAGTTTTAAGTAAGCGGTTTTTGTATTTTTTTTTATCGCAGCAGGTTGATTTGGACTTTTGTTTCAGTTTCAGTTGTTTTTTTTTAAATATTTGATTAAATTTCACTTTCGGAATTTTGAGATGTTAAACGTTTACGACTTTAGTTTGCAATTATTTTTTTTAATGGAAATAAAAAAACAAATAAAATGAAGTCCAAAATTAATTTCTTTTTCGAAAAAAAGTGAAAAACAATTGCAAGCATGAAATGATTCAAAATGTTTTGTCAAAGAAAACAAAAATCGAGTCTTTTTTGGAAATTCGATTAAGTACTAATATTATTAAGGCGGCAGTTTTTATTATTATTATTATATAAAATTATATATATTTTATATTATTATTATTATTAAAAAACAAAATAATTCCAAATTCAAGACTCTTTTTATTTTCTTTGTTAACAACAAAAAATTAGCAAAATAATGGAAAAAATCAAAAGCCCAAACATCATCAACAAAATGCAATAAAAACACAATCAAAAAAATTAAGTAGTCCAAGGCTAATTTTACAAAATTAAAAAAACAAAATATTTAAAAAAAATAATAAAAAAATTCAAATTTTTTTTTCTTTTTTTCTACAAACTTTAAACTACTTAGGCGTAAATGTCCAGGAGGGTTTCTTGTTTTGTTTTTTGGCATGCTCCGGTGTAATCTGTTCACATGAGTGGGGGTTGTATTTGTTTTTATGTCTGTCTAACTGTCCTATTTCTCGTTTTTTAGGTTAGCATACTTTGTTTGTTTTTTTTTTAAGTAATAATTAAGTAATAAATTAACACAGCATGAAAATTAAGTAAAGTAACGTAACGTAAGTTTTGTAAATTAGTAAACAATTACACTAGATTGGCATCTTTAGCCATGCTATAGAAGGCGCTTTGAGGATTGTTCAATAGATTGGCGGGCGAATCGAATTCAGCAATTTCACCCTTATCCAAAACAATAACTTTATCCGAATCCATAATGGTGTTCAAACGATGGGCAATTGTCAGAATGGTACAGTCAGCGAATTCAGAGCGAATAGTTTTCTGAAAAATATTAAAAAGAAAAATAAAATAAATTAGTAAAAAAGGAAGTGATATCGGACGGAGCCAATCGACTAAATTTAGGGTGTTTGGTGCACCATTTACTTAATATCGGACAAAAATTCGTATGGAAGCTATATGGAAATCTGAACCGATTTAAACAAAACTTAACACATCTTATCCTAGGCTAACTTCAGTAGGATGTGCAAAATTTTGTGACAATCGACCGAACTTTGGGTCTTTGGGGCACCGTTTACTTAAAATCGGGTGAAAATATATATGGGAGCTATATCTAAATCAATTCAATTCAATTCAATTTTATTTAACTTGTAATTCAAAGCCATCAGGCCCATTAAAGATAAATTACAAAATGCATATGATATGCTTAACCTAATAAAGGATAAACTACCCCAAAAAAAATAACAATAAAAATTCAAAAAATTAAAACATAAATTCATACAATCGTAAATACCGTAATAAAAACAAACGATTTCTTAAACGATTTCAATAAAACTTGACACACCTTTGGCTAGACAAATTTCAGAACATTGTGAAAAATTTTGTGCCAATCGACCGATTTTTGTGTGATTGGGGCACCATTTACCGAAAATCGGACGAAAATATAAATGGGATCTATATCTAAATCTGATTCGATTTCAACAAAACTTGGCACACATTATTCTAGACTCAATACAATACGTTATGCAAAATGTCGCCTCAATCGAACAAACGTAGGGGGTTTGGTGCACCATTTACTTAAAATCCGATGAAAATATATATGGGAGCTATATCTAAATCGGAATTGATTTCAAAAACTATATATATAAACAGTTATATCTATATCTGAACCGATTTTCATCAATTTCAATAGGGTTCGTCCTTGGGCAAAATGAATCAGCTGTCGAATTCGGATAATCGCAACCTTAAACTTTGTTAACAATTTTACATGGGTAGACGGATGGATGGACGAACTGACATGCAAAAATCGGATCAGAAAGTAATTCTGTACATATTTTCGAAAGCATATTTCTGGTACGAAGATTTGCTACCCGATGAGAACCCTGAATACTAAATTTTACAGAGAAATTGGTTGAAAACCGTGCCAAAACTCCCTAAAATATCGAAATTTGGAGGTTATATTATATGAGGGTTAACCTCAAACGTGAGCCAATATGGATAATGTTTTTTAGGAAGTTTTGGTACCCGATGAGAATCCAAAATACCAAATCACAAGAAATTTGGTTCAAAATCAAGGCCAAACTCCCTAACATATCGAAATTTGGAGGTTATGTTATATGGGGGTTCACCACAAACTTGAGCCAATGTGGATAATTTATTGTAGAAAATTTTTGCTACCCGATGAGAATCGAAAATACCAAATGACACAAAATTTGGTTCAAAATCAAGCCCAAACTCCCTCAAATATCGAAGTTAGGAGGTTATGTTATATGAGGGTTAACCTCATATAACATAAGTTATTAGGATAATGGTTTCTAGTTTGTTTTTAAGGTAGCGAGGATACTAGGATAGGATATGTTGGACATTATTTTTACATGATAACGTGTTTAGCCTCCTTCACTTTTATGTTTTTTTTTTCACTCGATAACTTACCTGAATTAAATCATCAGTTTCCAAATCGACAGCGGCAGTAGCTTCATCCAAAATCAACACTTTCGTTTTACGCAACAGAGCACGAGCCAAACACACCAATTGACGTTGACCCACCGACAAATTTTCACCACCTTCGGTAATTTCATGATTCAAACCGGATGGTAGTGATTTGACGAATGCCTTCAAATGGGACAATTCCAAAGCTTTCCAAATTTCTTCATCACTCTTGACTTCGAAGGGATCCAAATTGATGCGCAACGAGCCGGAGAACAGCACAGGATCCTGGGGAATAATTGTGAGGCGAGAACGTAGAGTATGCAAGCCCAAGGTGGAAATATCAATGCCATCGATAAGAATGCGACCGCCAGCAGCTTCGATGATACTGAAGGATGTAAAATGTTTAGATTATAATTTTTAATGATTGTAAAGGTTTTATAAATACTTACCGGAACAAAGCCAATGTCAAACTGGATTTGCCAGCACCGGTGCGTCCAACAATACCGACCTTTTCACCGCCGGCAATTTTGAAACTAATACCACGCAACACCAAATCCAAACCCTCACGATAGCGTACTTTGAAATCTTCAAAGCATACCTGACCCTGTTCGGGCCAATCACGTGGCACTTTGGAGCCTTCAATTTCCCATGGAGCTTCCTGTTTGGTCTCCCCATATTCCTTGATACGTTCAACGGCCACAATATTCGTTTCAATATCCGAAGACATGCGAACCAACCAATTCAACGTTTGGGTAACTTGCAGGGCATAACTGACAGAGAGGCCGACCAAACCGGGATTTGTCTGGCCACCCAATACGGCAAACAATGAGGCGAAGAGGATAATCAGATTACCAACCATTTCCAAACGGATGGCCAACCAACGATTGGCAATCAATGAGGGATATTTACAAATTTGATTTTTGTCGACTTTGTTATCCGATTCATCGATAAATCTGTAAAGGAGGGTAATTCATAAATCATATGTTTGATATATATTTGTTGACAGATTACTTACCTATCTTGGACTGCATAGGCACGAATGGTGGATACCCCAGTTACAGTTTCACCGAAATGCGAATAAATTGGCGATCTGGATACGGATTCCAAACGCATCAATTGCCGTGATGTGGCCACATAGAAACGTTGGGCGAAATAGTACAGGAAGGCGATGGGTACAATGACAGCCAAGAAAATCGGTGTGGACATACTAATAACGACAATGGTGGCCAAAACCTAATTTTCGAAAAACCAATTAAGTATTACGGAGAAGAAGAAGAGGAAGAAAAGATTATAAATTAGTAAATAAAAAAATAAATAATTTGTAGAAAAATATATAGTAGAGTATTTTATTGGCGTATTTTTGCAGAATGTGGATATAACGAACACAGATCTTCGGGTTATAAGAACCAGCTTGATGTACCATAGACCCTACGTTTGTCCGTTTCAGGTGAAATTTTCACAGCCCACCGTAGTTGAGTCTATAATGATGTATGCTATGTTTTATTGAAATCGGTTTAAATTTCTGATGAAATTTTGTGCAGCGCATCGGTTCAGATATAGTTTCCCTATATGTTCTCGGATCGGATTTTATGTAAATAGTGCACCAAGGCTACAATGTTTGTCCGATTCTGATGAAATTTTGTGCCGTGTACCCAATTGAGTCTAGAATGATGTATGCTAAGTTTAAATTGAAATCGGTTCAGATTCCGATATAGCTCCCCTATATATTCTCGTCGGATTTTATGTAAATAGTGCACAAAGGCTACAATGTTTGTTCGATTCTGATGAAATTTTGTACAGCTTACCGAATTGGGCCTAAAATGGCATGTGTGAAGTTTAATTAAAATCGAAACACCCAAAGTTTGTCCGATTCAAATGAAATTTTGGACAGTTTTGTGGAAATCGGTTCAGTTTTAGATATAGTTCCCATATATATTTTCGACCGATTTCAAATGTTGCACCATACAGTCAAAATGTGTCCGAATCAGACGAAATTTTGCACAGCATACTGAATTGGGTCTAGTGTGATGTGTGTAAAGTTTTATTATACATAATTGGTGCAGATTTAGAAATAGCTAAATATCAGTCCAGCAAATTTGTTATAATTTACTGTTCGTTATATCCACCACATTCAGGAATTTAAAATATATATTTTTTAATATTTGTATATTCAACCAATAAAATACCGTTTGAAAATACAATACTATTGATTTTTATCATGATACGATGTTTAGATGCTAATGACTTATTTTTATAATTAATATTGAATAAATGCTAAATATGATTATAAATAAAAATAATTATCATTACTTGATTTTTCTCGGTGAAGTTTTCAAAAGAGTTTGAGAGTGTGTGTGTGTGGTATTCGAGTGAAATGTTATGAGAGTGAGAAGTGTAAATCTTTTTTTGGTGTTCAACAATGGCAAGAGAAAGTGTTTTAATTACTAAATATTTGGTATTGTTTTGAAAACTATTTCGAAAATGAAATAATATTTTTGGTATAAAGTTAGGTAATGTATATATCAGATACAAAATTTTAATATTTTGATTGTTTATTTAGAGACAACTGATATTTAATATTGAAATTAGTTTTAGTGCGTATATTTTCCTTTGGAAAATATTTCAGTTAGGCATAATATCTAAATTACTAAATATTTGAATTACTTTTATTTATGTAGTATTAATGTGTACGTGTTTTTTTCTTTTAAAGTTCTTTTCTGTGTTATTATATGAAATGAGAAATAGAGAGGTAGTAATTTGGCATATAAAATCGAAATCAGGATGGATAACCATACGTATTTTTTTATTTAAAAATTATCCAAGATAAACATACATACATATATGTATGTGGTATTTTCCAGAACCGCAAGAATATAAAATTTTTTACTACTATAGCAATTTTTCCATTCTAATATCGAAAAGTAAAAATTAGTAAATTGTTGCAGTTCGGGAAAAGGCCCTGTGTTCAACTAAATCTTAAACTAATTCAAATTCTTTTCGATTTTACCACTAGGAAAGGTGTTAAATACATTTTGAGTACGGGAACAGAGCGATTTTGAAGGCGGATTTTTTTAAAGAATATTTTTTTAAGAGTGAGAGTTTTTTAAATAATTTTTAAGTGACGTAAATTAAAACAACGTGGATTGTTTAAAGAATATTTTTTCAAGGCCATTTTGAGGCATGGATTTTGTAAAGAATATTTTTCCAAGGTCTATATGCGGCGTGAATTTTGTAAAGAATATTTTTTCAAGGCAACAAGGCGTGGATTTTGTAAATAATATTTTTCAAGGCTTATGTGAATAAAGAGTATTTCTCAAGGCCTATATGAGGCGTAGATTTTTAAAGATATTTTATAAGGCCTATATGGGCGTGGATTTTGTAAATAATATTTTTCAAGGCCTATATGAGTAAAGATTATTTCTCAAGGCCTATATGAAGCGTAGATTTTTAAAGATATTTTATAAGGCCTATATGGGCGTGGATTTTGTAAAGAATATTTTTTCAAGACCCAACAAAGGCGTGGATTTTGTAAAGAATATTTTTCAAGACCCAACAAAGGCGTGGATTTTGTAAAGAATATTTTTTTCAAGACCCAACAAAGGCTTGGATTTCTTAAAGAATATTTTTTTCAAGACCCAACAAAGGCGTGGATTTCTTAAAAAATATTTTTTCAAGACCCAACAAAGGCGTGGATTTCTTAAAGAATATTTTTTTCAAGACCCAACAAAGGCATGGATTTCTTAAGGAATATTTTTTCAAGACCCAACAAAGGCGTGGATTTCTTAAGGAATATTTTTTCAAGGCCCAAAAAAAGGCGTGGATTTCTAAATGAATGTTTTTTCAAGACCCAACAAAGGCGTGGATTTCTTAAAGATTTTTTTTCTTTAAGAAATCCCCAAAACAAAGGCGTGGATTTCTTAAAGATTTTTTTTCTTTAAGAAATCCCCAAAACAAAGGCGTGGATTTCTTAAAGATTTTTTTTCTTTAAGAAATCCCCAAAACAAAGTCGTGGATTTCTTAAAGAATATTTTTCCACGACCTATACAAAGTTCGGCCAGGTAAAACTTAACAACAGGTACAACTTAACACTAAAATTACTAGAGAAAATGAAGAAACATTACCACAAATCCACACCACAGACCATCATCGAATAGTCTGGGCAGTACCGTATCTAGAGCCTCGACATCCTTTGAGAATCTTGATAAGATACGACCGGATGGTGTGGTATCAAAAAATCGCATTGGTACCCGAAAGACATTCCACAATAGCGAACGATGTAGAATGGCAGCAGCCCGTAAAGCACCAAGCCAAGGCGTTACAGCAACACCATAAGAAAATATAACTGTTGGGGGGAGGAAAATAAAAAAATGAGGATTGAAAGCATGTTCAGGGAGAGAATTGGAGTAAAGTATTTTTTATTTTCATTATTTGGAAATTTAAGGGCTTCATATGCTACAGGTACACACTAAAACGATTTTTCCAAGCGATTATTTTTTTTCTTCTGTAGCATGCAACATCACCCAACATACCAAACACAAATCTTTACGGCTGGCTTTGAAAACAGAAACAAAATTTTCAAGGTTAATGTAAATTGTTGGTTAGTAGTCGTATGGAAGAAGCAGCACAATGGAATATATATCAAATTGTACCCATAACCTTAAGAATCGAAAGGAGTCAAAATTATGTTCCGGTACTACTACTCAAATGACGAACAAGCCGTCAGCCAACGCTATTTGTTTCAAAAGTTTTCAAACTGAGGGCACTTGATTTAAATTTTCAAATTGTATTTAAGAGAAAAAAGTGTAACAGAAAGAGAGACCAATGGGTAGGGTACTTATAAAGAGAAAGCTACACAAAATATCTAAAATTTGTACTTCGAAATAAAATAGTTCTGTGTGTAAGTCTAAATAAAATGCAATACTACGTATAGAGCCCCTTACAGCTGGACTTTATAAATGTCTAATTTTACGACATACATATTTACTCTCTAGATCATTAGATCATGCACACAAAATTGTAATTACAGTGACTTCCCTTCGGCCATTTTATAAAAGTTTGGTGGCACCCATTTCAAATTCCTTCTAAATTGTGGGCTCCCCTTCAATTTTTTTTACCAATTATTTTCCAATATTTATTTACCTCAAACATACACCAAATATATGCATCGAATAGTTCGGGCAAAGTGGTATCTAATGATTCAATATCTTTTGAAAAACGTGACATTATACGACCGATCGGTGTGGTATCGAAAAATTTCAATGGTAAACGCATAATGCTGATTAAGAATTCTTTGTGAATAATACGACCAGCTCGTAGGGTACCAAGCCATGGTGCTAAGGTTAGACCATACGATAAGATGCCTACAAAACAACAAAATATATAGATTATGGAAAATCAAAATCAATAAAAATATAATAGGAAATACAGGATGATATCTCAAAGCATGGGGGATGGATGAGGGATCCTTTTAAACTCAATTTGGGCGCCAAAGAAAAATTTGTAAATTTTTTAAATCCAAATTAATATATTTTTATGGGATTTTTTTAAATTGAGGGAGGTTTTATTGGTTAAGGGTTTGGCGGATTAGAAGGGGTGGATATTGCTTGCAGTAAAAATAAATAACAATTTATCATTGGTGTATCATTTGCGTTCAATATTAGTAAAATATATATTTTTTGGGGATATATTAAAAGTTAGTGACATTTTGAGAAACTACGGATGCAGAATACGACCCACGACACATTCTAGCTACTGAAAACCCAGAATGCCCAAACTACAACCATTTTCCATAAAAAGGTTCAACAAAACCTAAAATTTGTAAAGAAGTATTTTATAAATAATATTTTTAAGGATGTGTGTTTCAAGGTCCCACAATAAGGGGGAATTAAAAAACATTTTCAAGTCGCAGGAAAAGATCAGAATTTTTGAAAATAATTTTTCAAGGCCCAAAAAAGGCTTGGATTTTTAAAAGAAAAGTTTGTCAAGGCCTAAACAAGGCGTAGAATGTTTAAAGAATATTTTTTCAAGTCGCAACAAAAGATTCGAATTTTTTAAAATTATTTTTCCAGGGCCAAACAAGGCATGGATTTTTTAAAGAAAAGTTTTTCAAGGCCTAAACAAGGCGTAGAATGTTTAAAGAATATTTTTTCAAGACCTAAACAAGACGTGGATTTTTTAAAGAATATTTTTTCAATGCCTATATGAAGCTTATATATTATCCACTACAAACATAT